GTAAGAAAGGGGCAGCTGAATGGGGCCCGCAAGGTGATTTTCACAGAGGCCTCCGACTGTCCTGCCAAGTCAACGAAGCTTCAGGACGGACTTGAAGCTTGCTCGCCCAGCCGTGTTTGAAGGCCACTGCGCAACAAGAGAGGATATCAGATGCTGCCAGCAGGTCGGTCAAGTGTACTATGCAATGCCCTGCGCGCCTTTGGACCTGGGTTATTCCGAAGAAGGCGGGCGTGGTCTCATGCCTTTTGCATGGCCATCAAAGAGGCGCTGATTTGAGTCATGCATCTTGCCAGCGGGCAGGGCATGATAGGGCTTTCAAGCTGTACAAGACGAGGGACAGGAACGAGGAGGATTTGATTCTTGGAGCGGAAATTGGTAGTTGGCCTTGCTGAAGCGAGCATCAAAAAGCCAGCTGTGACGGGTCAGTGCTCAGGATTACATTTTACACGAGCGAGGACCTCTCATCGGGCGTCTTTCGATTACAGGAGAGAGATGAGACGGTGGCTCAGTATTTGTGTGTGATGTGATGCTGCGCGTCCTTGCTTTGTCTGTCATGCCATCTTGGAAGTTGCAAGGATAAAGATAATGCATGGCGTCATGAACATGACGCACATGACAGCAGGGGAGGCGCAGTCGTGTGGCGCATGCTCGCGCATGAGAGGAGTTGTGCCCGCTGCAAGCACATTAGGAGACAGCTGCCATGCCTCACAGGCGATGGTGCCGCTGAGTCAAGCGCACATGTGACTTGGGGGCCACTTTGGGGCTTTGGTGTAGCTACTAGTGCTCGTAGCAGTGCGAGTCCGCACTTGAACAATCTGAACATCTTTGGAGTGGACGGTGCCCAGGAGCGAATGGTAGTATTTCGGCCCTAAGTTTCCTATATATCCCTAAGGTTAGATGCAGACTCGTTCATCATGCACGAGTCGCTCCAGGATCTAAGGGTTCTTGCATAGACGTGACCACTCCCTTTGCGCTGTTCCAGTTTAAAGCTGCTAGGAGATGGATAAATTTGGACACTCTCGGGTCCCGGTGTACGTGGGGCGCCTTGGTTACAAATTGTGCGTTCTGACGGGTCTGAGCGTCTGAGCATTTGCTTGATGCTCATGGATGCCTCTTGCACACCATGACGCACTGAAGCGGAGCGAGGAATCCCCACAACGTGCGCGGGTTTATCCTGGTAAAGAAGCTTATCGCCCCTGAGCTGCCAACAGAAAACTGTACTGTAGATGCACCTCCAGTTTGCAGTACTTGATGATCATGCCTGTCGGCAGAGCAACAGTTTCAGATAGTTTGCTGGCCGAATGTTGGGGGCAAAAAGCAAACTATCAAAGGCTCCTTGGCTCGCTACCGCTTCCGATGCTTGTTCTCCCTTCAGCTCAGGTTCTCTTACCCGACCAGCTGAATGGCTCGATGCGCTTCGGCTCACGCTACTGGTAGCTGCGTCAACGCAACTTTCAGGAAAGCCGGTGGCAGGCAAGCTGAGATCTTGCATCGCTCTGGTACTCCTCAGCGTGTTTGCCAATCGATGCTTATCACAGCAGTGTATTTGGAACTGCTGCAAGCGGGTTGTTTTGATGTCCGAGGAAGTTTGGTGACCTTGACCTGCTCCACATGACAGTCGTGCCAGACAATCTGCTCATGCAGCTTGGCATGCGGAAGCTTTTGGCTGCTGTGCCCCGCAACTGGGGAAGCATATGCAAGGCTGGACCTGCTGAACAAGTTCCAGGCTGACTCCCGAAAGCTCGAAGTTTTGCGGTTCTTGGTGTCAGGTTGATGAATCAACAGCTACAGGGGCGGCGGGGGCGGGCTGGCATCCTGGCACGTTGCACGCGCGAAGACGAGCGTCTAGCTTGCGTCCATGAGTGCAACCATGTATGCGGTTGTGATGCGCGTGTTTGAAAAGAGCTCGTTTACAAATCTCTTTGGTGTCTGGTTGATTTATCAACAGCTAAAGGGGCGGATGGGGGGCGGGCTGGCGGCCGTCGCACACGTGAAGACAAACAGCGAGTCGGTTAGCTTTCCCCCATAAGCGAAACCATGCATGCAGATGTGATGCGTGTGTTTGAAAGGAGGAGAAGTGCCACCTGGGACTGGTCACCAGCAACCCGGAGGTCTGATCGTTTCCGTAGGCCATAGATCATTGCCCCAAGCTGGGAATGAGAAGCAAACCCTAATGTGGTTCCAGATCGCTGTGAGGCTGTGAAGAAGTCTTGGCACGATGGCACACCTGTCCCCCCAGCGTCTTGGCCGGAGCAGGCCGGCATTACAACTCTGCCTGCTCCCTCGGACTCGTTCCCGAGGATGTCCACATGAAGGGCATCATCACGTTGGAGGATGTCATCGAAAAGTTAATCCAGGCCGTGCCAGTGTATAGTTGACGTGCTCCATGCGTGCATATTGATACTCGACAGAGGAGAATATCGAGGACGAAAGCGATCGCGTTGAACGCACTGCAACCACTCGTAGCCTTTGGCCTCAAATCCAAAACCATTTTGGGTACAGAGCACAATGGCGTACAGTCGTGCCCGAGGTCTCCGACCTGGGCAGCGAAGCGCTGCCAGCAGCAGCCCTAGGACCGAAGCAGGTTTGAGACATTTTGAGACATTTTGAGACATTTGAGTGATGTTTGACCTTGCAAGGCTCGCCACGACCTCATCCGGCGCCGACAGCGGTATCCTCAAGCCCTAACTCGTTGCGGGCACCGTGGGCTGCACTCGGCAGATTTCGGCAGATTTCGGCAGATTTCGGCAGATTTGGTAAATGGTGCATCTTTGAAGCTTAGGCATTCTAGACGCGGCTGCAAGTATTTTCGCGATTCAAACCAATTTTGCATGTAAAGTCGTGTGAAGTCTTTTCTACAGAGTGTTCCTGTTCGCAGGCACCATTGCTCGGCAAGGACAGATGCCGTGACAGTGACTGGCGGCAACGGATGGCAACGGTTTCATGTGGTGAGCTCCTCTGTTTTTGTCTCGCTGGAAGGACCGGCTGGAACTCCCGCGTCAGCCTCGGCAGCAGCATGGGCATGCAAAACCTATAATCCGGACACAGGTGTCCCGGCGGTTCTACGCAATCAGCGCAATCAAGGATGCCACAGAGTTGAACGCGTGTGCATCAAGGTCAGACCCAGCCGGCCAAGTATGAACAGTTGCCAGGCGTGTCTTTGTTTCACGTCGAACAGCTAATCTCTCTGTTTTTGCATTCGGGCCTTGTGGCAGGCTCCCTCGTTCCCACGCGCCCTCCATGTCCAGCTCGCTGATCGGCTTGTTGTTTCTTATCGCTTAATCTTTTTTCCCGGCAAAAGTTCCTGAAGCTGAGCTTCTTGCTGGCTGATGGACCTGGCATCATAGTGCCCCCAGTGATGCCAGAAGCAGACAATGTGCTGCAATAGACTTTATGTTGAAGAGACGACAGAGTGCGAACGGGAAGAGCAACTGCAACATAGTTTGCAGACCCACTTGGAAGTCCATGAGGTTCATTGATGTCGCTATTGTCGCTACGGCTGGATTGATGCTCAAGGGAGAGCTGGCAGTTCACTGTTTCTGTTTCGCTGAAAAACCCACAGCTCTGCTCATGCTCTCCGCTTCTCACCAGCCACTGTGTCTGAAAGACCAAGTTTCCGACCTTGCCACTCCACTCCGCTAGTCTCTAGTCTCGTAGACGTGGAGTTCTCTTCGCCATGCTGTCCTCGGCCTTCGGACCGCCCTATGTCGCACCGACATTCCCGAAGACACATTGGCGCATTTGGCATTGCGTCTGGAGCACAGGCGGCCCACCCACAGCACCATCAGGCGGGGCACTGCGCAACATAATTAAACACGAGTTAACTGAAAGAGAGTGGCCTTCCACTGTTGTTCCCACGAGGTGGGCATGCCTGCGCAGTCCTTGGTGTCCTGGCCTTCGGAGGGATGCAGGCTGGGGCAGCTGAGCCAGTTTCGAAATGCATGATGGCTGCCATGGCTGCCATTGTCAGATGCGTCAGATCCATGAAAAGTGCCAGGTTCGCCGAGCAGCTAAAGCCCGGAGACCGGCAGGTCTGGGCGTCACTCTGGGCGTCCATCCAACACACGTGAGTTTTTGGGACCCGCTGGAGATCTCAGCTGATGGCGATGTCGCACTCTTCAAAAGCCGCCGCAGAGCAGCTTCTGTAGTTCATGGCCGGATGTGTATGGTGGCATGTGCTTACGAGCTTGGCTGCCAGCATTTCTCGCAAAACTTTGCGGTTTGGGCAGACATGCCACAAGTGCTGCAGGGCTGTGTTGCTGAGTTTCTTGCAGTGTGCGAGCTTTTCTCACGCAAGCTTGGATGGCGACAGCGGGTCCATGTAGACCCCTGCAGAGAATGTGCAGCCAAGTCAGATCTTCTAGCAGGTCGTTTGGCTCTGGTGGCAGTTTCGAGCCTCTGCTGTCAGGATGCACTGACTGACTCGTTCATCTGCCTAGATGTTGCTTGATCGTCTCCGTGGCATTGCGTGGCATTGCGTGGCAAGCATGACGAGACGATCAGTGCCCCACCATGCGTTGGGAACAGGGAGTGACGAGTGCACCCTTTCTCCTCTGGTGCCTGCAACCGGGAGGGGCAACAATTTTTGCAACCATCTTGCGGTTCAGTTTTGCCAGCTCGTGACGAGCTCATGTGACTCATCACAGTAGGTAAGCCGCATGCCTGTCGGAGTTTGTGCTCAGTACACTCTGCGAGGGCTGTGCAAAGAACTGAAAGTTTGGAACTGTGGCACCTCGACGCCTGGTAGCTGGACTATCCGAGCTTAACACCTCGCCGCGGGACGCAGAGTTCCCTGCAGGAACCTTGGAGAGAAGGAGAAAAGGAGCTGCAAGACTTGCTCAGAAGTGCACGTGCCGGGTCGCCTTTGCCGGGATGGGGTGCCTAGCGGAGTGCCATATCATATTATCATAATAGTCGATGCTGGTCGGTGCGCACGCTGTGCAGTAGATGCTCGGTAGGTTTTGGGAGAACCTGGCAGAAGTGTAAGAGTTCTGAGCAAGGTCGAGCGTGAGATCGTGCAGCTGCTCTCAGCCACGCCTTGGCTGAGGAGGCCCAAGCTTGGCTTGGGGACGGAGCAAGGGATTTGCACCTCTAGATCTCGACATGATGCTGTCTAGCAGATCATGCAGGAGCGACTTCGATCCGATGGTTCGGTCCCAGTGCCCAGAAGTACAACCTCGCTGTGCAAGTGCTGTCAGATGGGCAGATACATGTGGTCATGTAGACGTCGACAGCTTTCGGCACTTGAACGTTACCCAGTCTGCTGCGACGGATCCTTTTGTCCCTTCTGGGGTTTATCGCATAAGGCAGCACCTCCACGCGTTCCACGGTCTCGGGGGAGCATTGCAGGCCGGCTGTGTTGCGATCGGAGAAGCCATCCGCGACCGTCCAGCTAGCAGCTATGCAGGTGCCACAAAACTGTTAAAGGCCATGTAAGGTTTACGAAGAGCCCACCAGTATGGTGTGTGGACATTGATTTCACCACAAAGACCGTGACTGCTTCTAACGCAAAATCCGCAGGTCCGTGCAGCATTGGCCGAGGCCGCCATGGTTTCTCCATGGTCGCCCTTTTCAATGTTTGGATCGTTGAGTCATCTCTTGAGTTCGGGAAGGTTTGGTTGCAAGGCTGTGTGGATCGCTTGAGTTTGGATTCTGCGCACAGAAGCGCAACGCAGCCGTTCCACAAAGCCAGCATCCAGGAGACGACGACATCTGCATGACACGAGCCGTTTCGCACTTGACATCCCTGGTCCGCTCGCTGAGCGAAGCTGCTCTATCTTGTGCAGTTTCCACTATGCCCTTCAGTGCATCCCCCCGCGAATGTTGAAGCCTTACCCAGCCCACAGTGGGGCAGAACAAACGCTTTAATCATCCGTGGCCGATGTCGTGTGTGCCATGGCCGTGTGAGATGTGGCTTCATGATTGCTTTCTTTGAGCCACGTGGCTGCAAGCCCTTCCTCGTGATGCTCGTGCCTCTATTTGACAGTTTTCGGGCTCAGGCTAGAATGCTCCTGCACTGCACCAGAGGAGGTGCATCCTGTTTGAGCATGTTGGAATAGGCATTGCAGCTGGATGCATGACGGAACTGACGGAGTTGGCAGCCTGCAGGTTGTCTTTTTGGTCGGCTCGAGCGCGGCACTGGGATGCTGGGATACCTACCAGGGGATAATGCTGGAGACCAGCCCGCTGCCCAGAGCAATCCAAGAAGTACGTAGGACGTAGAAGTACCCCTCTTGCTTTTGAGCTTCTGGTAGCCACTCGGAAGCGGATGTTGAGGTCCAGTGAGGTTTCCATGGTGGTACACCGCGAGTCCAGTGGTCCTCGACGGCATGCCGGCCGACTTCCAGTTTGCCATTTCCGTGTCTTGGCATGTGATGGACTGTGCGTTTGTGATCGTTTGTGGCCACCCGTGTGGCGTGGGTGTGTGTCGCCACTCCCGACTTGCACGAGGGAGCGAGGGAGAACGAAAGTTTGAATTGTTTGTAATGTGCAGGGGGCACAGATAACATTGAAGAGTCCGGCGCCAACGAAGACGCTCTTCAATGTTCGTGTAAACGCACCTGCACGAGTCGCCGATGGGTCACGCAGTGACAACTTGGGGGCTCAAAACGTCAACTCACCAGTTTGTGCTGTTTAGGGCGCTGTACATTGTCCTTGGCGGAGTGGAATCGGAGATTGTCAATGACTGGAGCCAAACTGTGTTGCAGTTCTGGTTTGCCCGACATGGGGCCAGATCACAGGGGCATGTGCCCGAGCCCGCGCTTGATGTTCCTGCTTTGTTCCCTGTTGTCTTCTGGTGCCTGTCTAGTGTCTAGCACTTCCTTCGTTTTCATGATTTTGCAGGGGACATGGGCATGTGCACTTCTGGCGCCTTTTGTTGGTGTTCCCTGGCGTCTCCCGTTGCTTGTAGTGTTGGTTAGCGCTCCCTTCGTTGTCATTGTTGGCAAGGGGTCATCGGTCCAGCTCGCACTCTGTCTCCTCTGTCCCTCTCTCTCTCTCTCCCTTCCTCTCTGTCTCTTTTCTTGCATCTTCCTGGCTCGGCTTGGGTCCCGTCACGCTTCTTCTCTCTTGCCCTTGTGTGTGTGTGTGCGTACCTGTACATGGTGCGATGTAACAAGTTCTTTTTCACAACCAGGGAAGAGGCCCCCGTTTCTGGCCCCATATAATTCTTTGCTTCAAAACTCAAGCTGGACGCATTTGCTCCTTCGGGAGCCGAAGCAACTGCACGCCTCTGAGAAAATGAAGTTGGGTGGCATGGCCTGCAGTTGGCATCTCTTACCGGGAGCACTTGTGTGGCGCAGTCCACAGTTGGTGTCCTCTGCCTTTATGTTCTACCTTTGCTCACAAGCATCTGCAAGATGCCTTGGCATGCTAAAAATGAACGTGTGTCTGCTTCCTGGGCAGTAAGCTTAAGGCTTAGGCCATCGGCCATCATCGACCATGTAAGCTCCTGCTAAGGATCGCTCCCTGAGTTCCGTACGCTGGGAGGGCCTCCCATATCACCGCCGACTGCAGTGTCGGCCTATGAGGGGAAAGGATTGCCGATGAGGGGGAGTAGCCATGGTGACAAGTCATGAGGGTGGATGGGCTCTGTTGTGGGATGTTGTGGGCGAAGTGTGCTCGGGGCAGGATGGCCAGCAGCTGGAGATGGTCTTTCGTGCAAGCTGGGAGGACGAAGCCGCTTGCAGGTCTGTCGGGCTGGCCAAGCGTTACGAGCAGAGCGTTGTGAGGACCCAAAAGCCACCGTGACGATTCGCCCGTCGCAGATGTTGTTGATGTATTCAGAGGCAGGGCAGCCATGTCCCTGTCATTTTGGAACGTGCATAAAGTTGCGGGATTCTTTAAGGAGTGTCGCTCATGGTCCCTAGACGCGACCTCCCACTGGTTCGGGATGGCCGAGAGTCTAGCAGGTACTTTGGAGCTTGATGTGTAAGCTGAGCTGTTCTGCTTGCAAGTTTATGTCCTCTTCTGTTTTTCATGCCATGTATCACGTTCGTGTGAGTCTTGTGCCTCTTTGTGCAACGCAAGTTTAAACCCCTAGCAGGCAGGTGTGCGAGCTTCTGGCACGTCCGTACCCACTGCCAGTGTTGACCTGAATCGTCATGGCCAGAAGAGGGCTCGTGGGTGCCTTGGCAGCGACTGGGCCTTCGATTTCTTTTGGACAGCCCATGCACCCGTGTGGGCGCCTGGGAGAACTAAGGTCCAAGACGGTGAACGATGCAACCTCTGTGTTTCAGAGGGATGCTGCTTCAGACTCTGATATGGACTTTGACGACGACAATCCGAGATTGAGAGTGAATAGGGCTCAGCCAGGAAGATACCAGAACACAGGCAAAGGGTCTGCCAAAGGCGGCCAGCATCAGCCGTATGACGCACCTGTGCAGACCAGTGCCACCAACCAAGAAGAGACCCCAACTCGGGCCAGCAGTGTCAACAACGAGCTCCGCGCAGCCCGCAGGCCTCAGCGACCCAGCTCCAGTGCGGCTACGACACATGCAGCAAACGCTCCGGCAGCCCCGACCGGCCAGTGCAGCACCGCCCAAGGTGGCAAGTTTGCATATAGCTCCTGGGAGGACCGCGTGGTGAATGACTCATATGACGGTCGACGAGCTGACTTTATTATGAACGATCGTTCAGCAGCCGCCATTCCGCCGTCAACACCAGTGCCAGCACCAAAGGCTTTGGCAATGACGACGGCAGCAGAATCGACACACCGTGCCAGCTTCAAGGGCTCGTCCCCACAACTTGCCGGTGTTGCACCCCTTCCTGCCGGCGACCCCCGAGCCAATTCGGCCACATCCGCTGCCATCCACGTTGCCAGTGCGGGTGTCTTGGTGGGTGGAGATTCCCTGGGCACCAGCGAGCGGGAAGACTTTACACGGGCTGGTGATCCCCCGCAAACAGCTGTGGGCGCCAGCATGCCACTGCCGGAGGCGGCGATGATGCCGACGGCGGCCGGCGCTCCTTGCGGCCAGAAGAGCTGCCCAGTGGTGCCCAGATCCCAAAGGGGCAATGACATGGAGCGCTTGCCAGGGCATGTTGTCACTGGTCCAGTGCAGAACACCATCAATCACCCCATAAGCACTTCGTCGAGGAGTGTGCGCTCACCCCCGCAACGTGCCGCTGTTGCATTTCGTGCTTCAGACGACCACCGAAAACATTCGGCCCCATCTGCTGCCATCCATGTTGCCGATGCGGGTGTCTTGATGGAAAGAGCTTCCCTGGGCACTAGCGAGCGGGAAGACTTTACACGGGCTGGTGATCTTCCGCAAACAGCTGTGGGCGCCAGCATGCCACTGCCGGAGGCGGCGATGATGCCGATGGCGGCCGGCGCTCCTTGCGGCCAGAAGAGCTGCCCAGTGGTGCCCAGATCCCAAAGGGGCAATGACATGGAGCGCTTGCCAGGGCATGTTGTCACTGGCCCAGTGCAGAACACCATCAATCACCCCATAAGCACTTCGTCGAGGAGTGTGCGCTCACCCCCGCAACGTGCCGCTGTTGCATTTCGTGCTTCAGACGACCACCGAAAACATTCGGCCCCGTCTGCTGCCATCCACGTTGCCGATGCGGGTGTCTTGATGGAAAGAGCTTCCCTGGGCACCAGCGAGCGGGAAGACTTTACACGGGCTGGTGATCCCCTGCAAACAGCTGTGGGCGCCAGCATGCCACTGCCGGAGGCGGCGATGATGCCGACGGCGGCCAGCGCTCCCACCAACCAGAAGAGCTGCGGATTGGTGCCTAGAGCCCAAATGGACAATGACATGGAGAGCTTGCCAGATCATGTTGCTATTGACCCCGTGCAGAACACCATCAATCACCCAGTAAGCGCTTCCTCAGACAGCCGTGCTTCTTTGTCACCGTCGCCGCTGCACCATGCCAGCTTTGTCAGCTCGCCCCCGCAACGTGCAGGTGTTGCGTCTCGTGCTGCGCACGACCTCCGAAACATATCGGCCCCATCTGCTGGCATCCACATTGCCGCCGATGTGGGTGTCTTGATGGATGGAGCTTCCTTGGGCACCAGCGGTGCAGACTTTACACGGGCTGGTCCACAGCCGCAAACAGCTGTGGGCGCCAGCATGCCCCGGCCGGAGGCGGTGATGATGCCGACGGCTGCCGCTCCCACCGAGCAGAAGAGCTGTAGAAATGACCTGGAACGTTTGCCAGGTCATGTTGCCACTGGCCAAATGCAGAGCGCCATCGATCATGCAGGAAGGGCTCCGACAGAAAGCCGTGCTTCTGGTCGCGTCAGCTTTTCGAGCTCGCCCCCGAAACGTGCTGGCATTGCGTCTCGTGCTGCAGATGATCAGGTGAATCTATACACGAAGTCGGCTCCATCTGCCACCGCCCGCATTGACGACGTGGGTCACTTTGGTCTCTTGATTGACGAGGCTGCACTGGGCACTGAGGGCATCGGTGGCAGGGACATTGCGGAGGAGGCTGATCCTGTCACGCCACCGCCAACAGCGGTGGGCTCTAGCATGCCCACGCCAAAGGCCAACCCTCCGCAAGCTGACGCTGTCACCAGCTTGGACAGAGCCAACAGTTACGTGTACAGCGCCCAGACAGCTGCGCATGGAGAGCAGGACAACGAGACAGAGCGCTTGCCAGATCAAGTTGTTCCGGATCCCATGCGGAATGCAATCCGCCATGCGGTAAGCCAACCGATCTCTGCTCCGTCTGCTGTCGTTCACATGGACACGTTCAGTCGTGGAGAGCATGCGCCGCTGAGCCAAGCTGTGAACTCACCAGAGGCCGCCATGCGTTACATTCCTGATGGTGGAGCTTTGCCCCGGGCCAATGCGACGGGTCTCACCGAAAGCGGGGGAATCAATGCTCCGAGTTCACCTTCCATCGCTGCTGAAGTTGGTTTCTCGGTGCTTGGATTACTGAGGGCTGAGAAGAAGGCAGCTTCAAAAACCAGAGAGGACGCTAAAGTCAGTAGTTCATGGGTTGCAAGCCTCCACTCTTGCAGAGGTTGGGAGAATTAGGCATATTTAGGATATATTTAGGCTCGGGCTGGCCTGCTGGCCTATGGGATCCCTTTGCCAAGGCAACGCTCGTCGCGCGGATGGCTCGCCAGTCAGTGCAGGCAGGACACCTCACTTCAGTTTCGTGCAGAGAAGCCGCACCCCAGAGGTGACTCGAGCCAGCGGGAGAACATCCAACCAAGCCGCATGTCCCGGAAGGCTTCGCACGGGTTGGTTGGGACCCTACTGTGAAGAACAGAGTGTGCTCTTGACAAGACTTCTGCTGCTGGCTACTTTGGCTGCTTGTGGCTGTATTGCTGGTTGGGATCAGGCCACAAGACATCTCACGCTTGCCGATCGGCTGGGGAGGCTGCATTTTGCAAATTCAAGGCTTGCAAATGTCAAACTCATCCTATGTCACAGAGGCCCCTGGCTCCTATCCTTCGGGCTTCTGCGGCATCAAGGCTTCCACCAGAACCTTGGCTTGGGCTTGGACCGAACAGAGACATGGTGAGACTGTAGAGACTGGGCTGGGCGCACAAACCCAATTTCGAATGTAGCTTGGTGTATAAGTCTGTGAGATGCTTTGTGGCGACACTCCACCTACAAGTGTGCGTCGCTTGCCGCATAGTCCTGGGTTGTCAGAGAATTCGGGGGGAGCCCAGGATGACTCAGAGGGCGACGATCGGGATTCTGCACCTGCAGACACAGAAGCGCACTCGGCAGAATCACGTTCGCTTCCTCAGGCGCATCTGCAAGTCTGCAAAGCTTCGCTTGCTCCGTAGCCAAGTCGTAGTCGGGTTTGCTGGAAAGGACCTCTTGTGCCATGTTGCTTTTCAGTCTCGTGTCCAAGTCTCGAAGAGGCGATTGTCGGGCGTCGAGCAAACTCAGATCCCAATCTTCAGCTTGCATGCGGACAGGCGGGGTCAGCTGTGGTTGACAGCTAGATTACAAAGGGGCTGCCGTGCCGTGCAGGAAACTACTGCCTGTCGGGGACGTCGGGGTCGCGCATCGCAATCCTTAAAAGCAGCCTTGCGCTTGGTTGAGAATGGTCATTGTGGTAGGCGTGCGCGTTTTCCAGCACCAGATCCGATTAATTGCAGGCTCCGAGGACGGGCGCGAGAGCTCCAGGCGCAAAGAGACTTGGCAGGAAAGTCGGCAAGCTTTTCATCGTGGCCTTCGGCCCGATCTAGAATCTAAGAAGCCACCTGGGACCGATAAGATGGCAAACTCTCAGAGGTCCAAAGTGGATCTTCAGAGACTACTGCGGTAGATGCTTGTTCTGCTTGTCCCAGTCTAGTGACGCGGAGAGATGCGTCTATGGAACAAGCTCAGGCCAGGCCCAGTCATGGCGTTTTTCGAGCAGCTCAGCTGGCCTTGTTGCCTTGTCAATTAGGTAGCTTTCAGGGTGTAGGCCCTGCAGTTCAACTCCATCCGCTCTTCAGGGTGGAATGCCCTGAGACCACGCCAGAAGAAGCGCCCTGGACCTGGACGGGACAAGCGGGGGCTTAAATCGTGAAGCTGCCTTGGGGTGTCTGGTCTTATGCTCTTGACATCGCAAAGCAGGAAAGGGTGAAAGGCCAAGGCTAGACAATGGTGCTTGGCCATTGCTCGGCGGGTTGTGTGTTCTTCAAAGCTGATCCAAGTCATGGGGTGCTCACATGCTGGCAGCTGCTAATCTGAGGCTGTGTTCCTGGTGCTCGCGCACTCTGCTGGGGGTACGTGGGACATCAACTCTGGGATAATGTTGGAGACAAGTTTGAGCCCCAACGAGCGGCATGCGTCGACCGCAATGCTGTTGACAGTGTGTTCGCTCAGTGATTCCTCCAGGTCCTGAGAAGTTTCCGTGCTGGGCGACTGCGGTGCCTATTAATGTGGACCCTTCCGCGAAGATCGAGTTCCAGTTTGCGATTTCAGCATCTCGGCAATAGTAAGCAAGGCAGTGGAACAACTGCCTCGTGAGTACTCTCTCATCAGGATCGTTCGCTGGCGCAGCCTCCTCGGTTCGAGTGCCTCTCGTGTCGCCGGTTGCCTCAACCTGAGGGCCAGGATTGGGTGCATGCTGTGCTGGATGCTGTGCTGGATTGTGCTGGCCTCTCTGATTCCCGCACCACGACGCCAGGAGGATGAAGCTTGCGAGATTGTCTATCGGGGCGCCTGGGAGGCTGAGATCAGATGAGCCTGTGACAGCCTCATGTGTCAGAGAGATTGGTGCAACCGATTGGTGCAACCTGTCGCAACAGAAAAGTGCCTGAATTCACCTGAGTTGCTTGTTCCAGCATTGCCAGGATCCTCGCAGCACAGTGACGGTTCGGCCATCGACTTGGCCTCCAGCTTGGCCATTGGCGGAGCGCTCCAAACCGCAGGTATCTGCCTTTTGTCCGCATCTGGCATATTGTCGACATTTCCGTGCAATTCTGGTTCTGCTGGAAGCCCTCTGAGTTTACTGTCGCCTGGATTCCAGGCTCTGCCAGCTGCTCGTGCCACAAGCGGCCCCCAGAATCAGGGGCACCCTGTTGCCGCAGACAGCACCCGAAGGCCGCCGCAGCACATGACAGCACGTGAGACCTCGTGAGACTGTCCAGGGTTGTCTTGGGCTTGGGCTTCTAATGGCTTCTTTAAGAGCAGGCCGAAGTGCCTGAGACTACGCTTTTTTGTTTCTGCTGCAAGGTAAGTGTTTAAGTCGGGCAAAAAGCGTCATCAGTTTTTTCCAGTGGCCAAAAGGAAACTGCTCGAGTAAGCCAAGGTCCCGGTCTGTGCCGGAGACTGCGCTGCAGCTCGACGTCTCGGAAGTTCCAGTTGCCACTTAGCTGGAGATGACGTATGTTGAGACTGTTGACGAAGGCCCTCAATGTGTGTTTTAAGGCAGGCAGTGCAGGACATCGCAGCACACAAAGTCGGGACTGTTGTACGGGCACAAGGACAAACTGGAATCTCCCTTTAGACACTCTCTTTTCCGAGGTGATTGTCTCCTCGGAGCTCCTGCCCTGGTCAAACTCAGGGGGTCTGGGTCGCATTGCGGCTTCTTTGGCAAGGCAACTGCTGCGCTCTCTTGTCCCGTACTGCCCAGATTGCCTCGGCAGTTTGCGGCCGAGGGTTGGGGGATGTTGGGGGCACGCTGTCCCTGTCCGCGTGAGCGCGAGGCAGTTTGCCCTGCGTGGCCACCGGACCTTGCCACTCGACTGCCGCTTTTGACCCGGCAGCATGATTCAACCGATAAGTGTGTCGCCTCTCAGGGCCATTTCGCCCATGTACACGAAGCCGCCCGCGGAAGATGGCTTCATCTATTTGGGATCAGCACCTCATCTTCGTCGTGTGACAGGGTAACTGTTTTGACTTTCACAGCATGCTTTTGTGGTGGGAGAGCCATTGCTTTCCGGCGAGCCGGATGCGCTCATTCACGGTACTTTTTTTTGCTTTAGTCAGGTGAGTGTTCTCAAATTGTTTCAGGCCTGGGTGCGGCTTGACCAGATGGATCAAGAAGTCCGCTGCATGCACCTGAGCTTGAGTAGAGAACTAAAGATGAGAGTGCCGGTCAAGTAGGCCAGCAGACGTGGCAAGGGGGGGTGTAGCTGCGGTGAAGCTTGGGCTTTGGGGGAGGACTCCGGGAAGTTTGGGGGAAGGGGCTTCAGGAAGAAACCAGAGAAGAGGGAACGATGAGGGGAAGCCATGGACGAGGAGACCAAAAGGAGGCAGCGGCAACTGTAGCTGGAAGAGAGAGAAGGGGAAAGAAGGGGAGAGGAGGAGAGAGAAGGGGAGAGAAGGGGAGAGAAGGAGCATCCGACTCTAAACTTTCGTATGAGAGGGCCTCAAGTTCTGTTCGGACCGTCCCCCTGTTGGAAAGGCAAACCCGGCATTCTGTAGTATCATCGGCTGACAGATCTGAGAAGGAAAGCTTGCAACTAATGCTTTAGGTTTGCCCTCTTTGTTCTCGGCTTCTTTCTCGGATGTCGTGTTTTCTTGTGAACGCTACGAACTTATGTCATGGTGATGGCATACGTTGCGCAAAGGCACAAGTTCGTCAGCTTCGGAGATGGGAAGGGGTGCGCAGCCTGCCTGGAGCTAGTGCACTAGTTTCTTTCGAAGTCTTGTCCACTGTATCCAGACCGACCTTCGGAGGTTCTTTCAGTGGCGGTTAGCAGCTTTAGCACTGCATCATCTAGTTCAGCAAGTATCTTGTGCGCTTCAAGGACTATGTGCTGCTGGACCATGGCTGCTATCAGCATCGCCCAAACGGCTTGTACTGTGATTCCAAGCTCCTCTCCTGAACGGCAAAGGGAAGCCATACATGCTCCCGACTTCAGCTGACAGCTTGCATCAGCTGTCCGTTTGTGAGATCCTGCATCCTCAGGACTGGTCAGGACTATGGAGACAATCTGTATCGCTTCGCCATGCTGTCACTTGCTGCTCTGGAGGCCGGGTTGTGTATGAGGTTGTGCGGCATGAAGCCCAGGGGATGTAACGACGACATGGTGTCTTGGTCGTCTGGTGATGTTCGGGTTCTCCATACCAAGCAGGTGCCGCTGACACTTAAATTCGATCGGGTGGCGTATGGGCAAAGAGCATCTTGGAAGCAAGTCGTAGAGGCAAAGGTTGCAAGTGGTCCTGTCCTGTCAGCTTTATCAGAAGCTTGCAAGCATAAGCATGAGTGGGAAGTTTGCTGTGGCACTGCCCAGGTAGCTTTCATCTCCAACGACTGGCAGGCACGTGTTGCCACAAAACGCCAGGAAGCTCGGAAAAGTACGGCCCCGGCTGGATGCAACAAACTTGCAGATATGACGAAGCTCAAAAAAACAAATGAGGGCCGCCGAAAGCCCGAAGCAACTCGGCAGGCAGCCCTGGTGTCAGTGTACCTGGCGCACCGCTATCGTCGAAGCGGCCTCTATCAGGATTCCAGGCACGGTTGCGGGGTTTCGGAAAAAACCAGGTGTTGTGCATTGCGTCTTTACGTAGATTCGGTGTTTTGGGTGGCGACATTTTGATATTTTGGCCCTCGAATGGCTTTGAGGTCGACTGCGCACCTGCTAAGTGAGTCCGTTGGCTTTTAAGGGTTCCAGGCTCTGAGTTCATAGGGCCGCAGGGTGACCTTTTCGAGATTCTAGTGGCTCTGGTGACAGTGTTCGTTTGCGTGCAGGAACATCCACGTCATCCACAACCTTGGTGTTTTGACAGGAAAAGAATGAAGTCACCTGTGAGGTGTCAATCACTTGGAGAGAGGGTGTGAGAGGATGCGGTTCTTGGCTCTTCGTGACGTCCGTGCGCCGAAGATGTTGGACACGTGAGTCTTAGGCTTCCAGGGCAGATTTTCATGCCGGCGTTCCAGCGTGAGTACACTGCTTGGACTTGGCAAAGCGGCAGCAGTCGACCTGACGATGCCTTGGATTCTGTGATTCAGTGTGATTCGTGCTTTGATTAAGTTCCCGGGTGGAAGCTCCAACACCTACTGACATCTCGCTGTGACGACTAAGGGTGAAAGATGGCGACCTCAACCTCTGTAAGGGTGCTGTCCTTTGCAGCGATCGTGTGGTCACAGTGTCTTGATGGCAAAAATGGTAGGCGTTGAGAAGTCAACCTAAGCCATAGTTCGGCTAGAGATTTAATTCCTGGAGCGCCCAAACTTATGAGTCAAGTATGCGCTGCCCTTAGTGTTGTGTTGTCGGCTGTCGATTGCCTGCAAGAGTTGCCTGGCCAGGTGTCTCGCAATTATGCCCACGAGATACAGACGCCACAAGGCCAAACACATGAATTGGTGAGAAGCCCGTGCGGATCGAAGCCCAAGACAGCGCAGGTGGATTCGGGCTTGATGGGCTGCTCAGCCAGAAGGCGATCCAAATGATCCAACAAAGCACCGTGCCATTACATGGGGCGAATCGGGCGACAGGCGAAGATGCTGCGCCTCGCTGGCATCCAAAACGCCTTGGATGAGGAGTGGGATCCCAGATCCGTGCCCCGGCTCGCATGGCCATAACCGATCATTCATTGCCCAAGCACCAACGTGCCAGCGTTGCCGAACTTTTTCCCTTGTTTGTTGTCTCTCCTAGGATGTGCACATTTCCAAGTGCTACCAGGCGGGACACAATTCGCAGATGCTCCAGAGCCCCATCTGTCTGCACCCCTTCAAAGGGCACTTGTTCTCCCTGATTCTTTGGTCCCTTCTGCATCCTGGTCCGGTGGCCTGCGAGAGGATCTTAGTGTTCCTGTTTTTCCTCCAATGACGTTTTGGCTCTAATGTCGTTCAGAGCGTATGCGACAAATACCTGTTAAGCCTGACTTCTTTGTTTGCGTTCGGCTTATGCCCTGATCTCTTCGGTTGGATGAAGTACTCTGCTTGTTCTAGACGCCCGTTCAGCGAAACTTCCACGGTCACTTTCGTTTACGAAAACGAGAGATTCAAAGAGCAAGAAGGTGTTCCCAACAAAGAAGGCCGCCACTTGCTCTTCAAAAGGAATTGAGATGTTTCGCATTGGTGGCCAGACATGGGCGAGCTGGAATCAGCAGCAAGAGTCCAAACGTAGTCGTCCTAACAACATTTAGAAAGAGCTCGTCGTGCTCTTCATGGTTGTTGGAGAATGAGCGGTTCATCTTCTTCTTAAGAAAAGTTGAACCAAGATTACGAATGACAAAGCAATCCCTGAAAAGACCAGTATTGAAGACCCAACAAAAATCCGCACAAAACAAACCAAAAGCAGCCAAAGCCCCAACTTTTTCTTTTTCGAACATCCCCACCCTGTCTCTACTGCGGATTTAAAAAGTTGTTGTGCTGGGAAGGGAGCACTTTGATGCTGTTTTCCATGTTGGTTCAGAGTTTCTGGTCCGATGGAACAAGTTTCGAGTGCAGAGTGCGATCTGAAGTCACAGCTGTGGGACTCGTCCGAGCGTGGATCCTCACGGCCCGTTGTAAAAGGAGTGCTGGGTCAGAGTGCTCCCTGAGCTTGGCAGGGTCAAACAATGAATATTGTTTTTGGGTGTTTCTAGTTTTATGGTAGGTTTTTGACGAAAAGAACAACATATGTTGACAGGTGGGTTAAGGGCTGCTGCTGCTGCTGCTGCTGCTACTACTAGGACGACAACAACAACAACTACTACTACTACTACTACTACTACTACTACTACTACTACTCCTACTCCTGCTCCTGCTCCTGCTCCTGCTCCTGCTCATGCTCCTGCTGCTGCTGCTGCTGCTGCTGCTGCCGCTGCCACCACCGCAACCACCACCACCACCACCACCACCACCACCACCACCACCACCACCACCACCACCACCACCACCACCACCACCACCACCACCACCACCACCACCACCACCACCACCACCACCACCACCAGCACGACCACCAGCACTACCACCACGACCACGACCACGACCACTACCACTACCACTACCACTGCCACTAGCACGTTTGACATGTCAATGACAGTGAACTAGGATGGAGGTTATGCTCTAGAGACCTCTCATAAAGACCTAGACGTTTCTCTTGTTGAGTCGAAATGAAGCAGGGGACTTGTTTATTCTTCTTAACATCTGAAGGAACACAGGCGTTTTCCTCAAGGGGTAGCGTAAACATCTTGGACTTGAAACATCAAGGCGTCCTTATGAACTTAGAACAAATGGGCTTCCGATGAAGAGCACAACTTGTCTTGCTAGGATGAGGGTGAATGGAGTCCTTCCCATGGAAAACAAAAAGAAGTAAGAGGACCTCCATCTGAAGCGCCGGACTTTCGGGGTCCTTTCTGTTCAGCATGTGGAGTCAGCAAGGTCGACAGCATGGGAGCTGCGAGACGGGAGTGCAAGGTGCGGCTCTTGGGCTTTATGAATGCACAAGTCCATCAACACAAGGAAAGTAGAGGGGTTGCCAGCAACACGCTGAGATCATTGAAGCCGAAGTTGCTTGCAACCAGCCTGCGGCGTGCTTGCGGCTATCAGATGTTGGGGCTTTTACGGGTGGGGCGCCCGAACCAAATGCCAAGCAACAGAAGAGAGCCAACACCAGCCGCCAGTGATCAATTGACAACTGCTTGTTGAACGTGTTGGTTCTTTCGAGCTGTGCTTGCAAGCGGACGGTGTCGGGGCTGGAACCGTGACTACTCCTCCTGCCTCGTCCTGCAATACGGTCGGATACAGTCGGATGTTTCTCTTCCCAGGCTCGTTTTGGGAACCGTGTGATTCTTGTAAAGCCCCAGTCCAGGTGCAGGAACTCCAAATAACTGAGAGCTCCGCTGGTTTGTGATGGCAACACTCAGCAATGGAATCTCGGTGGGGTGTTTTCAAGTGTGGGTGTTCTCAAGCGTGGTGAATGCACTTTGCCCTTGTATTTTCGGCCAGACACTCTGGAATTCGTAACTGTATCCGAGGCGGCCGCGCTATTCTTTCGTTTGCTTTTGAGACCTGCCGTAAGCACCGATGCGCTTGAACGTAAGGAACACCGCATACGCTCATGGTAGCAGAAGAAGCAAACATCGAAGTACAGGTTTTCCTCCAGAAGAAGCTTGGCCTGGTCCCAGCGCCCCGTGCGGCGCGCCTCTCAGTAAGGTGGTTTTGACAGTGCTCTGAGAGTGATTTTTGCTTTACATGATGCCTTCTTCGCAGGTCTTGTTCGGCTTTGTGGGTCGCCTCACTTGGCAGAAGGGTGCCCTTGCCTGACGTAGTTGCATGGCAGCAGAGTTCAGCAGCCCTGCCTGCCATCAGGCGTTGACGTACTGGCACGTGTTGTGCCGTGGCTGCTGGGGTCTGGCATGCAGGGTTTCCCTGGACGAGCCCAGCTTATTCTCATGGGCGAGGGGGAGCCACATGGCATGCAGCAGGAACCGCTTTGTGCCCAGCGAAGTGTCGTGGCCACGGGTTGACTTGCCTATTCCTGTTGGTTGGTAGGCGCGGTTTCGCACAGCTGTTTGTTTGAATGGAGCAAGTCTGCCTCAACGTAAAGCATGTAAAACTCATGTAAAGCCCTTTCTCCATGCTTTCTGCACCCGCAAGGCAGCACTATCAGCATTTGCTCAAAGAGCTGGAGCTCCGCAACCGTGGCCACGTCTGCGGTCAAACAAGCTGCCTGCCTAGACAGCCGCTCTTTCAATGGCTTTCCTTGATGCGCTGTCGGTATGATTGTCGGTGTAGCTGCGCTTGGCCTCTCCTCGTCCGACTCGCACAATGTGGCGCGTGGTTCCGAAGTAGACTGAACCAGCCATGGTGAGTCGGTGGAAATGTGGTTTGCCGGGTGTGGTAGAATGCCCGGTGCCGAGAGACCCAACAATGTTGGGCGCAGGAGGGGGGGGGGGATGAGTTACTGGATGGGGGCCTGGGGCTATATGGGGCTGGATGGTTTCGCTCATTCGCTATGGCAGAAGAAGCCTGCATCACACCCAAGCTCTGCGACAACTTTGTCAGCAACTCTTGGCTTCCAGCATTTTGTGTGGCACGCCTTCGGTTCTGCAAAAGCGATGCCTCTGACGTCTCGCGTCTTTGGCACTTGAAGCCGTCTTTCCTGATAGGCTTCAGTCCCGTCCTGGAACATCAGATGATGGCAGGCCTGGTCAAGTTGTGCACGGCGCACCAATTGACAAGATCACGGCGCTGGGGCTGCACGGAAGTTTTGTAAACTGTTTCTGCAGGCTGCGACTTCATCATCATGCCGTCGCGCTACGAGCCTTGCGGTTTGCCTCAGCAGCGTGCTCAGACCTATCGTTCCCATACAAGCCATAGAAACATAGAGCACGGAGGCACTGAGCAATTGTGTGCAACAACCATGTCGTGAGGCTGGCGGCTTCCTTGTACGGTGCGGTGCCCATAGCTACGGCCACAGGAGGCCTCAAGGACTCCATACGAGGCTTGTGCGGCACAAGCTTTTTCTCAATGCTTTAGCTGCTTGCCTTTGCCGGGAGTTGGTCATGTGAGACGTGTTACGAGTTTCCTGAATTTTGGGAGCGTCTGCTCGTCTTGATCCTTGCTGGAAGGCCCGCAAGAAGGCGAAGCCGCGACAGGCTTCCTGATACAGCCGCCTGTGAGTGAGACGAGCATGCGGCAGGAGCACCGAGGGCTTTTCCCCAAAGTCTATGGGTGATCCTGTGTTGTTTTCATGTACGCTGAGCACACCATGTAGAACAGTAGAACCTGGTAGAAAATCAAATGTAGGAGTCGACACATGAAACTGCATCATGCGACATTGCCACCGTGTTGCATGTATGATCATGTACGGAGGCCCTCCGGGAAGCGCTCACGGTCTTCTTCCAGCAGCCACATCGCTTTCAGTGCCATGGCAGCGAGTCCATGTGCCAATCTCATGGCCTGCTGCAGAGCTTGCTGCAATGCGAAGCTGCGAAATTAGGCGTCGCTAATGCAGGTTGACAGGGGTTCTTCGACACCCACTAGCGACAGTCACGGAGCATGAGTGTTCGCTTTGCTCGGCAATCGCTCACCGGGTCGCTCACTGGGCAAAGGCAGATGCAGCGCAACGTGTCTGGACGGCACATGAAATCCGATGCGAAGTCGTGGAGAGACTGAAGCACAAAGTATGTAGTTTCTGGGGCGTGCAGACAAGCATTTGCTTTTCACATGGACAGACGTCCACTGCAGTCATTCCCCAGGCTATGTCCCAGCCTTTCCGATGGAGCTCAGCGATGGACGAGTACCAGCAACAAATCCGTTTGGCTTTATCAGTTCCAACACAGAAGCCGTTCTGACTTGTCCTGGGCCTGCAAGAATCATCAGCTGCACTTGGAGTGACGCTCGAGCTAGGAGAAGTGTCTGCGAGTCACCTCACATGAGCCAGAACAAGACAAACCTTGCGTCACAGACGCCTTTAGGGCTCTTTCCTGGGGCTTATTGGGATGTTCAGAGCCTAGGGGATGGGACCGAACGGTAGGGTCCCCTAGAGGCCCTAGATAAATCTAGATAAATATAGATAAATCTAGACAATAGGACTGCAGGTTTCTCGGTCGTTAGCGGGATTTCGGATTGTTTTGGACAGGATTTCCTGACTCGCCGGTCACCCTGAGTGCTGCGACCTCTTCTTTTCTGTGCTTTGTGCCGGTGATGCCCTGTCCAGCCAAGGACTTCGATGAGCAGAGTGCCCAACCTTGACTCGGTCACTAGGAGCTCCGCCTTCGAAGCGTGGTTCATCTGTTTCGCGTATCACAAATCTCTGAAGTTTCAGCCAAGTTGGCAAACGCCCGGAAAGATGGTTCGTACCCCTGCAGAAGCATGTGGCAGTCAAGTAAACCTAACATTAATTCTCATGCTCCTCCCAGTACGTTTTGCTTCTTTGGGGAAGCAGCAGATTCAGAGCCATCTGCCTTTACGAAGATTGCCGGCATGGGCTTGAGGTCACTGGCCTGCATCGTTCTGCATCTATCTGCATCTAGGAAGGGAAAGTAGTCGAGCATTCGGCATTATGCAAGAAGCTTGGCGAGGATCTGCAGAGACACTGGGCCCCTGACCGTTCCCACATGGCCTGTGTCAAACGCAGATGCTGCAAGTATGCAGATGTAAAGTACCAAAATTACCAGACTTCGTCGTTCTTGTTTCAAGGTGTGTTCTTGCGGGGGAAGGTTTCAAGAAATTCTGGTGCCCAGCTTTAGCACGCTTTGGTGTGGCAGGAACTAACCACTTTGCATTGGGCTTTCGCTTGGGAGTCCATTTGGAGCTAGCCTGGACGAAAAGAGGTTAGCAACTTTGTCCAGCAATATGCTGACATGGCAACCTGACAGATCAAGCCTCGTCGGCAGAGTTTTTCCAAGGCCCAGGCATTCCTCTAGGTGACTGCTTGCCGCGGGTTTGTTCGATGCTGTGGCGGGATTCGATTCCAATCGCTGAGCTACAGCTCTGTGACCAGTGGCAGCGCTGCCACGGCAATGCGGACGCAAGACGTTCTGGCTCAATCGATTCCGATGACCTACAAACACATGCAAATGAACCTAAGCGATGCACATGCTTTGACGGTTGCATCCGTATTTTGGATTTTCCGAGGGGAGCTGTGTGGAGCTCAGTGCAAGAGAGCTTGCCTGAAGCCCAGGCTCTGTCGCAGACGTAGGGTTTCACTCCCTCGCGGCGTCAATGCAACTATGACGCAGGGGTACGTCTTCTGCCATTGCCAAAGTGGCGTGTGTGTTCCATGGTCGCCACGGCCCCAAAAGGCTGCTCTTCGAAGCATGCGAGCCAGATCTGAGATCCCCCTCGCGCACCATGGGAATACCCATGGATGGGCCCAGGCCGCGTCGCTGTGTGCATGCTAGGAGCACCCAGCGGCACCAGCGTGGGAAAAACAATTTTCTCCTCAGCCACATGCTTTCTGCTAGCTGCTAGCTGCTAGCTGCTAGCAGCTAGCTGCTAGCACTTGTGCTCTGCATTCACTGGCGTGCGAGCCGTTTGGGTGATCTTGGAAAGCATGGAGAAGCGCAGTTGTGGTCGATAGGTGCGAAAGAACACCGAAGGCCGACAGCGAGATGCAGCCCACTCCTAAGCCTCGTCCGGCTCGCCATTTCACTGGATGGGCCAAAAGAAATAAGGTTCACAACTGGCCGGCGTATCTTTACAAGTTGCGGCGGGCTTGGAGTTTGTCACCGCTTGAGCTATCAGAGGCGTAGGAAGCCGGATGCTGTTGACGAAGGCTGAAGAAAGCATTTGCCGCGGCGAAGGCGGCCAGGCAGTTTTGTTTTACTTTCTTTCGACTTGGGCATGGGTTGTAGCTATGGTTCTCTGATTCCGGCAGGACAGACCCTTCAGCCGGACTTGGCGGTTCCACACGTGCCGCCCCACCTGTGCCATCCAGAGCTGTCTAGCATGCCTGACTGGTCCGAGCTCCAAGCTGCACCACGTTCCATGGCCCGCTGTTGGATCTTGCTACTGGCTGCTGCCATCGGCTCTTGTTCTTCTTGTAGGAATTTGATCCCCGCAAGACACACACACACAGACACACACACACACACACACACACACACACACACACACACACACACACACACACACACACACACACACACACACACACACACACACACACACACACACACACACACACACACACCACACACACACACACACACACACACACACACACACACACACACACAACAAACACACACCACAACAAACACACACCACAACAAACACACACCACAACAAACACACACCACAACAAACACACACCACAACAAACACACACCACAACAAACACACACCACAACAAACACACACACACACACACACACACACACACACACACACACACACACACACACACACACACACACACACACACACACACACACACACACACACACACACACACACACACACACACACACACACACACACACAAACACCCACACACACACACACAAACCCACACACACACACACACACATTTCCACACACACACAACCACACATCACACAACACAACAACACACACACACCAACACACTACACACACACCCACACACACATCACAACCACACACACACACATCCCCCCCACACACCCCACACACACAACACAAACACACACACCACACACAAACAAACACACAAACACCCCCACACAACACACACACACAAAAACCCCCCCCCCCACACACACACACACACACACCCCCCCCCCCACACAACACACACACACACACCACCACACACACACACCACACACAACACACAACACACACCCCCAACCCAACACACCCCCACACACACACCCACACACACACACACACACACACACACACACACACACACACACACACACACACACACACACACACACACACACACACACACACACACACACACACACACACACACACACACACACACACACACACACACACCCCCCACACACACACACACACACACACACACACACACACACACACACACACACACACACACACACACACACACACACACACACACACACACACTTTCGAGGGGGCCTAGTATCGGGGTCCTTGCCTTGCACCCCTGGTGTTGGTGTACGAAGTCGTCGTGCCGCAACTCGGGTTGTCGAGGCTCGTGAAGTCACGACTTGTGCGAGCCCCAACACGTGACCCAGATGACCTATGGGCTGGATGCCAAAAACGGGTCAAGGCTGCCGAGCCAACATTGTCAGGTTCAACTCCTTTCAACTTTGGACCTTAGCGCCTGGAATTGGCCCGGCTACAAGCCAATGCTCTTTGGGGTGCTTGGCTTGGAGTAGGCTGCTGGCGCGGGGGGAGAGATAACTCCGCTACCAGTAGATTTTGTGCAGAATCTAGGGACAGGGACGGCGTCCCAAGCTTTGAATCGCTCTAGGAGAGAACTAGAGTACCTGGGGCCGAGAGCTTGAACAGTCAAGGCTACCTCAACATCAACGATGAAAGGGCTAGAGTCCTTGGAAGACGTGAATGGAGTGCTTGTGAGAGTGAACAAAAAGGGACCGCGCAGTGGTTCTGAAGTCGAGCGGTCCTGGAGTACTCTCAGAGTTCCTCTGAGACCGCCCCACGCAGGTGCCTGAGGCCGCCGGCAGGCAGCACAGTTTTTTTTGGATATTTTCAGTCCTGCACCGGGGACATGGCTCGTCCAGATTTCCCGCTGTGCTGTCTGGCCCAAACTCTAGGCAGAGTGGCAGGCAGTAGGACCCCTCAGTCTCCTTGGCTTGTCAAGATGGTGGCGAAGGGGCTGCGGCACGGCATTGAATAGTTGAATAGCGTTTGCCGCTTGAACAGCCTTGACATGCCTCATCTCTTGAAGCCGAGGAAGAAAAAGGGTGGCACTCCTGCGAAGAAAGCCGCTCTGCTCTCGGAGATTGACAAGACATGCTTCACGATTGTTCCGACCTTGAAAAGTCACCGAGACCCTAAAGTTCACAGTCGACTGCCAGCAGCCTGCTGAAGACACCATCATCGAGCCCAAGGATATTCCAATCGATTTCCAGCAATCGTTACAGCTTTGATGGGAGTTGCTGGCACAGAGTGCAGGACTTCGAGAAGTTTCTGGCGAACAAAATCAAGGCACATGCGCAGCGCTTGCCTGCGGATCTGCACTTGAGTCAAGTTTGCGCAGTTCGCAGGTAGATGGGAAAACCGGCAACCTGGGTGAGAAGGCGGAAGACAAGTGAAGACAAGTGAAGACAAGTGAAGACAAGCCTGGAAGCCTGGAAGCCTGGGAGCAGCTTCACGGCCTGTTCCAGGTAAGCATCCACCGAGAGAAGGCGAAGGTCCACGTCACCGCGGAGGCTCCGTGGAGACGGTTTACAGTTGTGGTTGTCACGGGTGGTTCCCCTTACCGGCAGCATTTGGTGAGCATTTTCTCACGTGTTGACGAATGAAGGCCCCGTTTTCCAAGCGCTACTTGCCACACGGCAGCATTCATCAGAAACAGCATCATCTGCGGCACCTGCTGGCACAGTGACGTGGCGCCATGAGTCTTTTGTGGCCTTTGCTTTTTCCCCTGGCTTGCAGTCAGGAAATACCTTGGCAAGAAGTATCTCAAGGTGTGTGTGTGTGTGACTTTCTCATTTGAAGCAGCATTAGCACGCCACATGCAGATGAGTGCCGCCACTTAACATGCATGCAGACAGTTGCGTTTGAAACCTGCAACCAACACCAGTCGCAACAACTGCGGGACTTCCTGCGCATCGTCGCCCCGTCGAAAGCTTCCTACGAGATGCGTTCGGAGCTCAGTTTGCGGGAGCTCCAGTGGGCTCGTGCCCGAGTACATATATCAACCCAACAATGCAGGATGAAATTATGCCATGTAACAGTAGTGAAATGCACTATGCCATGAATAAGGACAAGATTCAGTTCTTGTTGTATCATAATTGTCTTATATGTTTACTATGATGCTATATCATGTCAGGTCATGTTGTGCTAAAACAGGTCATGTTGCAGTCAGGTTATGTTGTGGTATTCTGGGATGTTGTAGTCTGCCATGCCTTCTAATGTTGTGCCACGCTATTTAAGCTACGCTTGTGTTGTTTGAAATGTTCTGCTATGCCACGTTGTGCTAAGTTATGCTATGGTCTGCTATGTTATGCCCAGTGTCCAACCCCCAAAAATCCCGCAGAGTGCCGCCTTCGGGAATAACAACCTGAATCCTGCGGCGAAGTATCCTGAATTACCTGTCCGAAAAAGGGCACAGACGGCTTCCGCATCGGTTAGCTTGCTCCTTTTCGGGTGGGGCTGATCGAAGTGAATACTGGGATGCTATTTTAATTGGTTCTGGTATGTTTCGTTATGCTATGCTGGGTTGTGTTGTGAATGTACGTATTTACAGTTCCATGCAGCAGGATACTTCAACATCAACGATGACAAGGCTGAAGAGGACTAGAATGACAACGGCTAAGCAAGGTTGCCGCATTCTGGAGGGATCTGCTGCCTGTGGAGAAAAGTGTGTGTGTGTGTGTGTGTGTGTGTGTGTGTGTGCCACTTGCCCTATTGCAGGAACGTCAAGAATGCTGCGGGTGTAGCATGTCATAACATGAGCTCGTGAGGCTGCAGATGTCGCTACCCGTTGCTGTTTCAGGGCGGTCCCCTCCCGTGTCAGATAAGAGTGTCAGTCAAGTCCTTACGTGGCACCCTTTGACGATGGTGGCCAAGGGATTGTGCCCTGGCTGACCCGAGGATGCTGGTGGACATCTGTGGACAAAAGGTTATTCAGGCATGTGCTTGAGGGTCAAAATGCTTCGCTTAGGAAGAGGAAGGGTGCAGTCTCGGCGAAGAAGGCTGCCTGGAGCCAAGCTGCCGGTAGTGTAAGATGACTATTTGAGAGTACGGTGAACAAAGCATCGCGACCAAGACGCTCAAGTTCACTGTGGATTGTCAGCAACCTGCCGAAGACACCATCATCGAGCCCAAGGATGCCTAGAGCCTGAAGCGAAGCCGTGCTGACAATTGGCGCAGCCTGTTGAGCAGGACTTTGAGAAGTTCCTGACCAGCAAGATCAAGGCTTCTTTTGCCTTGTGGCACAGCACGGCACGCAGCTGCTGAGTGGAGGTGGATGGAAAGACAGGCAATCTGGGGGAAAAGGCCGGTGCTGTTTGAGTTTGACGCGACTTGGAGCATGCTGCGGCTGCACTTCCGGCCTGATGGTTGTGGATCGCGGAGCAGGTGAGCATCCACAGAGAGAAGTCCAAGGTCCACGTCACTGCAGAGGTGGCTAACATTGGCTAAAAAGCTGCACGCATCATGATGCGTGAATCTGCTTGATGCAGCCTGAAAAGGCACCTTTCTCCAAGCGATACTTGCCACTTTGCCAGCAATCAGAATGACTGTGACGGTGCATGAGGCTCAAGTGCAAGGCCTGGTGGGAGATCTGTCCGCCCCTTCCCTTCCGAGGAAGTACTTGGGCAAGAAGTACCTGAAGGAGTTGCTTTGAAAGCCATAGGTAAGACGCAGCAATCAGTCATCAGCCCTATGCATTCCAGTCGCAGCAACTGCGGGACTTCCTCCGCATCGTGGCTCCGTCGAAAACGTCCTACGAAATGCGCGCGGGGCTAAGGGAATCTTGACGAAGAGAGCGTGCAGATGGCATGAATGCACGCCCTCCAGGCTACTTCAACATCAATGACGACAAGGGCGAGGAGGACCCCAAAGCCACGAGCATCTCTGGCCCTCAAAGAAGTTAAGGCATCATACGGGATTCAGTCAAGTCTGAGGACTGACAGGGTGCAGCCTGAGAGCTTGACAAGCCTGACCTTATCTGGGAGGGACTGCCCGCGGAGAAAAGATCTGCATTGGTAGGGGGAACTGAGGCCAGCAAGGCCTCAGCATTGGGGCAGCAAGGGGCTAGCAAGGGGGCCAGCAAGGCTAGCATGGCATTGGCTTGATGCTTGAGCCGTCTGGCAGGCTCCGCGACATCCTGGGACCTTGACCCCACAGCGCCACGCAGAGCAAACTACTGCTCTGCATGTAGGTGAATGTAGGAACCCGCATGGGATCCAACATGGGAACTCCGATCAATCCGATCGGGCAGCTCGCGCGACCTGGTTTTGATCAAAAGGTATATTGGAGAAGTGAAGCCTGTGCATGCTGGTGCAAGTTTGTGTGTTCCCCCAGAAGGTCCGGTGCATGTACATAGCTATACATAGCTGCCGTCCCGCTCGTTCGAGTGCTGGTCTGTCGGACCAGCCCTCGCAAGAGAGGGGCTGAATGCGTCGCTATAGGTCAGGGAGAAGAATACTTACGCTGCGAAGCTGTTTCTTAGAATGGCACTTGACATCAACTGTCCGTCCTGTGCAGACATTCAGGCAAGTAGAGAGGAACCCGGAAGCAGTTCGAATCCCGGAACCTACAGCAGTCCGTTTTGCGGCATGCGGGATGCAGACGTCTTCGCCATCGCGATCCTGTGTCCTCCGGAATTCATGTGTCTGGCGAAGTGTCTGTGGAAGTCGCTAACCAAAGCAACGACCAGTCTACCACTAGGCGTGAAGCTGTGCCCCGGACAGCCTCGGACATCCTCAGACCATGTAGAGCACAAGCTGCCAGGCTTGAAGCACAAGTTGCCTGACGTGCAAGTTGCCCACACTTGGCAGGAAAGCTGTTCGAAGGCTCGTGGAAAGAGAAATGCTGGTCCGATGGACATGTTGCTTGCTTGGGCTTGCCCATCTTGGCGCCGTGCTGTATGTAGCTGGACTGCTTTCTTCTTTTTTACCTGTCAAGTGAACATCCTGCACAGCCACAAATGCAGCCGGCACGTGGCAAGATGAATCAGTGAAAGCCGCAGCAGCATCATCAGCGGGGGATATGTCAGAGGCACTACGCGCGCACGTCACGCTAGCTACCTGTCTTTCCGATTCCCATGCTCCATGGGTATTGGGACGGCCGGATTGTTCAGCATCCATGACGTTCACGCTGCGCCGCTCGGCCAGCTTTATCTCTCAGAGTTGTTTATGTTGGCCTAATGCGGCTGCCCGCCAGAACACACCCATTGAGCCCAGGCTGCCAGCAAAACTCCGGGGTCGTGACAACCATGTCGAGCTATGGTCGAAGTGTCGTGGCGGCATCATCGATCCGACAACCAGAGTGTTCTTGGTAGCCTCTTTGCTGGTGTCCCGAAACTGCAGTCGAGGCTCTGCGACTCCGGCCAGAGGCCGGCCTGTTTGCGCTTTGTGGCTATTTTATGAGTCTTATGAGAGCGGTGGACGTTTGGAGGTTTGGCACGTCGTCTTCATCCAGCGCGAAGTCAACCAGATCTTCGGCAAAAACCAACCCAGGAAACTTTACCTCCAGTCTCCTGGTAACTGAGGGTCCTCGAAATCCCTCTAAACACATCCCGGCTGTTCGAAAGTCGTTGTCTAATCCAACAGCGCCTTCTGGCTTGACTTGAGAGGACTGCGAACCTCGTTGCTCTGGGGTTTGGAGCAGGCCTAGCTGCCTCAGTGCGTCTCACACAGCCTTTTGGCAGTGGCTCTCTGGCACATGGACCCCCTTGCCAGCAGGAACCGCAGGTCTACAACAGTGATGTGGCTCCTGGCCAGGCATGAGGGAGACTGGGTACGAATGTTCGTGCATTCAGTGGTTCAATTTTGTGGTGTGAATCTTGTGGTGCAAATCAGCCTGGTGTGTGGGAATCAGCCTGGTGTGCAGGGTCCGTCGGATGAGGACTACGATGCAGCCTGCTTGAAATCACGTCCTTCTGTTTCAAGACGGTTTTCTGCTTTTGCTTCCGTCGGGGAGTCTTGGAACAGCCCAGATGGACGCAGACGATGACCCAGCGGCCGAGGAAGAGCGAGCCGAGAAGGAGGAGGCCCATGAAGCTTCCAAAATGGTGTTTTTTTTCTACATGTTCTTGGTGTATACAGCGTATGAACTGTCCATCCAGCACGCATTGCCCTGGAGACACGTCACAGTTCACAGACATGTATGTGTGCGAGGTTCTGAACGACACCCTCGGCAAAGCGAAGCAGGCGAGTCACAGGGAACTTGATTGACATGGGCACTCCCTCCTGTTCTGTGACTTCGTGTCCACTTGAAGCACCGGGATGTTTAGCGACGTCTTTGCGCCTTTCCTGCAGCAGGTGGTCGATGTATTGAAGCGTCTTGGACCGGCGTGATGTAGTTGTTGTGCTTGCTCTTGTGGTGCTAGAAACATAGAGGACCGCTAAATGCAGCACAGGCTTCGCAATCTTTGCAGCAACTAGTTGCTAGTCGTTGCCCAGAATCGGAAGCGAAGGAAGTTGAAAGTTGCCGCCCGTGTGCTTACGGAAGGGGGGCCTTTTCAGAAGCAGCTCGAAGCCCCAGGCGCGTTGATTCCGAGATGGATGCTTCCAAGGCTTGATGCACGCTCTCAGTTGCGACCTGTGTCATTCGTATGCGGACCTTTGCAGCTCTAAACTTCAAAAGGCCCAGCTGGTCGAGATCGGTGACAAGGCCTTTTTCTGGTCGCACTTGCCTGAAGCGACCGGAGGGCCGCTAAAGTCCGCTAAAGAAGCCAGACATATCTGATGCTTAGAGCCTTAGAGGACTCTTAGAGGGATTCTCTTGTAGGCCGTCGACTTCAAGGCTCGCTTTCGCTTCCGAAATGCAGCCGCTGCCGCGATTCGGCTATCCAATACAGGAGTGTCCCAGGAATACGGGGGGTCGCGCCATGTCCCACCCCTCGGATCGCCCAGGCAAGTGCTGCTGCGCAGCTGGCGTCGCAGCCCGGCGAGGTCAATGGTCGACTGCGGACAATTTCAGAGGCGAGGACATTCTTGGGACATTCCTGTGAAGTTCTGTGCGTTCTTGGTTTCTGCCTTTTGTCTGCTCTCAGTGTGAGCGATAGGAAGCCCAACAGCTGGAAGACCAGATGGCCTACACCACGTTGGGAAGGCCCTTTCGCTACCGCATGCGGCTGGTCCGCCTAGCAGGCAGGGTGCAGGGATGTGCAGGGCCTAAGGCCTAAGCCATCCTAAGCTAAGCCTGTGACTTTCCATCCTTCTCCTATGCCGTAGACTTGGGCAGGTGAGGCTGAGCGTGCCAGTCAGCTTATGGAGACGAGAATCCAGAATCTACAGGAGGCGCTGAGGAGCGCGTGGGGGGATGCTTCTTGGCTTGAGGCATCCGGATATAACATTGTGGATCAAGGATGCTCAAGAATGCTGGCGGGGAGTTCGTGGATGTCACGGACGTGGATGAGCCTGGCGAGGGCGAGGTAGATATTGAAGAAGGGGACGAGTCGGCCCCTGAGATGGCAGCAACATGCAGCAACATGCAGCAACCGGGGTGTTGGGGCTTGGAGGGCGGCACCGACAAGGTCTACACCGCTTCTGTCAGAAGTCCAAAGTGATGCTGTCGAAGTGGGGATGCATGAGCACGAGAGCCATGGAAGCAGTGGCTCGTGCCGTTGCGTGTGACATGCTGTATGGGTGGGCACTGGCCGAAGTCCGTTTGCTTCCGATTCCAAACCTGTTTCAATGTTTCACTATTCGTGCGCATCTGCAAGGACGCCGTATCCTGGCGAGGGCCATTGGCAAGAGCAGCACCATGCGCAAGCAGGGCGGCTTGGCAGCTTGTGCAGCTGCACGGGCCAGCAGCCTGTGGAAATTGATGTCCCTGCCTGAAGTCCCAACTCATAGGATGCCGCTGGGCCAGCCCGAGCAGGCGATGCAGACATCGCTGCACTTCAGTTGCACTTGCCGTCAAAGTTCTTCCGCAAGTGATGGGCATGTCACGGTGCTGTTTTCTTGAGTCGGCACGTGGGGCGCCTCAGAAATGTAAGGATGGCTGGAGGCCAGGGCATGATGGGACAGCCAGGGCACCCCATCTGCAGTGGTTAAGTTGGTTAAGTTGCTGCTTCGAAGCCCCCAGAAGCCCCCCGCACAATCTTTAAGCACTCCCAGGATGTTCGGAGGAGGGGGGATGCAGCCCCAGCACCTGGGAACGCAGAACAGTGATACACATTCAGCAAATTCTTGCGCAAGAGACTTTTACACATGTTGCATGGGCTCCGAGGATGAATGGGCACCCGCACTGGCATGGGCCTTGCACTCAGCGAGCTCGGAATGTGTCTTGATGGCCCGAGGGGAGCGAGAGAGAGAGAGAGAGAGAGAGAGCACGAGAGCGAGAGCGAGAGCACGAGAGCCAGAAAGAGAGCACGAGAGCGAGAGCGAGAGTCCGCAGAACAAGAAGAGAGCAAGAGAGAGAGAGAGAGAGAGAGCCCGTAGACAGAGTGGGTATCAGGTACAACACTGGGCCCACGGCCCATCCACAGCCCGCCCACGAAAACCGTGGGAACGGCAACAGACGCAAGACATGGGACTCTCGCGCCCTTCGGGGCGGCTCCCCTCTGGGGGGCCAAGCGTGTGGAGAGAGAGAGAGAGAGAGCCCGTAGAAGAAGAAGAAGAAGAAGAAGAAGAAGAAGAAGAAGAAGAAGAAGAAGAAGAAGAAGAAGAAGAAGAAGAAGAAGAAGAAGAAGAAGAAGAAGAAGAAGAAGAAGAAGAAGAAGAAGAAGAAGAAGAAGAAGAAAGAAGAAGAAGAAGAAGAAGAAGAAGAAGAAGAAGAAGAAGAAGAAGAAGAAGAAGAAGAAGAAGAAGAAGAAGAAGAAGAAGAAGAAGAAGAAGAAGAAGAAGAAGAAGAAGAAGAAGAAGAAGAAGAGAGTTTCCGAACCTAAGGGGAAGCTGACAACCTGACAACCTGAAGAAATCGTATCACCTAACGTGCCTCAGGAGGAGCAGCCTGCCTTTCAACAAGTAGACAGTGAGATATGATAGTGCGCACCCCGACTTTCATCACGGAGAGCGGGAGAGAGACGAAGTGATCCACGACCGCTCCGGAACCAAGTCTTGGGGATCAAGCAGTGGAAACTCAAGCATCGGGGGCTTGCGGTGGGGGCCGTGACATGCCCGGCCAAGGAACAGTCGGAGGCTGTGTCTTCGCATGCGGCATCTTAGTGCAAAACAGCATGTACCGTGAACCCCGAACAAGAGTTCGATGGAGTGCAACAAGAAGTATGCCGTCTCGTCTCGCCTTCGAGCGGAGCCGTCAAACAAGTACTACTCTTACATCCTCATCACCCCTGTCTAGATGACATCCCCAGTCGCTCCTTTGTTCTACACCAATCGTCAAAATCGTTCACAGCCCCGCTCCTGGAGCTCCTCGGATACCGGAACCATGGTGAGGTCCAGTTTGCACCAGGTCCTATGACCCGATGGAACAGGAGGCCCAGCAGATGGCGGTGGAGGAGTGACTCAGCCTGTGCTAATATTTTTTCGTTGTCAAGCCCTCAGCCCCCCATCTGCTCAGCAAGAGCTGCTAAGGCGAATGGAAGAGGCTGAGGCCTGCGGCACGCAACACGTCTTTAGAGCAGCAAAGATGCCTAGAATTGTACCCTTGATGAGCATCGAATACTGAGTGAACTCAGTCCTCAACTTCTTTATGTATTCAATTGCAGACCACAGCGATGTCGGGGGTGACCGCGACGAAAGAAGATGAAGAGGTGGCGTGCCAAGGAGAAGAGATCAAGAAGCTCACAATGTAAACCTGGAAGCGCTAAGTGGAGCAGAACACAGCCTCTACACAAGCTTGATCCGCGGCTCTCCCAGGCTAGCGCCAAAGAGATGGAAGATGCCATGGAGGACGATGGATGTCATTGGTTCTCGTATCTAGAAACGTCGAGGGCAGTGCAGAGCCTAGTGAGGACACCACCTGGTCCATCGATGTGCTTCCCGTGCCCCAGCCTTCCGATGTGGAGCCGCAGGAGACGCAAGAGATTGCAACTGCAACTGTTGAGAGTAGGTCATTCGGTAAGCGCCATCTGCTTGCAGGACCCAGCACCAGATGGCGTTCCACCCTTGCCAGTCCCAAACACATCGAGCGGTTGTCAGTGCATCTCAGCTTCAGTCTTGTCCACGTGGACAACAGACCATTGTTAACACAGCAGCACAATGAAATTCGCATCAGCCCGTCTTGGCAGTGAGCTGAGGTGATCCTACCGCCAAGTGTGCTCTTCAGGGTCAGCCCTTCACCTGGTGCCGGATTGGCAGTGCCGAGGCCCCACCCGCCTACCTATCGAAAGTTTGGGCGATGGGGGATGACTGGGTGGAAGGTGCCTTTGTGGTGGTCAGGTTGTGACGCGGGTTTAAGCTTGGGCGAAGTGAAGTTGCTCGACACTTTTGCCGGCAAAGTGAGAAGGACCCTACCTGTGCCAAGCTCGATGCGGCCGACGATCCCACCGGCCGCGACCATGCTTTGGGCGTGCAGGGCAGGCGACACTTGCTGCAGAGTAGAGGGATCCACTCTGTCAGGAGTCAGGATGATGTAACTGTCGGAGTTCGACATGCTTGGAAGTTGTTGCGCGCAAATTTGCGAGCATGTCTTGCGTGACTTGCAGGGCAGAGTCGCATGCGTTCGAGTGTCAAAGCTGATGCAATCTGACTTGCCTGCCAGGCAGTGGGACTATTGTGCCTCGGCACAACCAGTGTGACGCAAAAACATGCGCCTGTTGCATTCTGGTGTCCGTCGACATACTATCTCCACTCCCACACGGCTCAGGTGTCCCTTCGGAGCCTCTTAAGGAAGAGGAAAGCATCGGAACCGGCCTGCTGCCCAGGAAGATTCCAGGAAAGCATGTTGACCGGTACAGTCACCGTGCCCGGGGGAGCTTGTGCAAGGGCTCGTGGATTTCTTTTGCAAGATGTCTGGGTGCAAGTTCTGGCTGATAAGGTCAGGACGAGCAGTGGGGCCAGAATGGTCTGGGCCTGTATCGAGTTGTTAAACGTTGCGACAGTTTCAACGAGGTCTGGTTTGCCTGTTGGCAAAGGTGGCGCAAATCATGGCGGTGAGTATGGCGCGTATGGCTACGATGCGCAGGGCATGACCGCATACGACCCAAACACAGGCATGTGTCGGAGGCTTGAGATTTGCATTGGGGTCACCTGTGGAGTTTGGAGCAGGTGCTCATTACGATCAAATGGGCTTGGTGCTGAGACCGCGTGGAACAAGCTTCAGCTCAAGCTGTTAAGATGTCCAGATGCGGAAAGCCTGAGTGTGGCTAGCTGTGCAGTGACCCTTGCCTCGCTGCTTGGGAGATTCCAGCAATGACTTTGTGAGGCGTTGACCAGCCGATAGTGGACGAACATGCCGGCGAGCACGGTCGCACAGCTCAGCCAGTCAGGACTCAAGAACACGGTCACTGAAATTGCTTACATGATTGTTGAGGCAGCCATGAAGAGGACGGGTTGAGTTAGTACCTGCTCCGAAAGCAGGGGGAACATGCCAGTACCTTTATCAAGAGTACCGGCCTTATAGAGGAGACCCCGGAAGAAGAGTTGTCGCTCGCCTTGGAGTGGAAGCAGAAGCAATGGTGGTGAGGCTGTGGAGGCCATTCTGTTCCAAGAGGTGTACTCACTGCCAAGGACCTCTCACCTGGGCTGCGAGTGCGCACCGCGCCCTGATGTGCTGCAGCGGTACATGGATGACCCGATCTTCCACAACTTGGACCCATGAATGCATGCAGACCCTGCGCCTTTCGGCCTTGTGAGAGCTGCAGCTTTGACCTCTGCAGACAAAGGAAACGGGTGAAATCGACATCGAGAAGATCCCGTTCAAAGATCGGATCGCAGTGGAAGCCACGCAGAACTTCCTAGAGCGGCTTGGCAGTATTCAGGATCGAGGACATCTAGACACAGGAGCGTCTGGAAGCCAGGAATGGAGGTGACCTTTGTCAGCAAACCCCTCACAGCGGCCAGTTTCTCGTGTGCCCAGTGGCCAAGGGCTGCGCCGGGCACCGAGCATATCAAGAATTTCAACAAGCCAGTGTTGCCCTTGTGAGATTCTGCCCAGTGCCCCAGGCTGGCAGCAACGTTTCTGGCCCAGGCCCGGAAAAGCCTTCAGTCGCTCACTCTGAAGGACCAGGCCTCGTACTGATCTGGTCAGGTGGCGCCCTGCCCAGCGGCTGGCCGCCTGGCTTAGACCACCGACAACTCAAGCAGCCTAGGAGCTCTGAAATTCACGAACTGTCGAGTCAAGAACTGTCAAGCACTGTCAAGAACTGTCTCAAGAACCGTCAAGGATGTCTAGGTTGTGTGCGTTCCCAAGCATCGCTTGTTATTCATGGTGTTTGCAGATCTGCCAGTCATGGCTAGAGGGGGAGATGGGGTCGATGAGCCGTGGTGTGGTCACCTTGTGGTCGGGAATTAGGGTGACGGGCCGGGGGGACATGTTTTGAGAAGACGAACTCGAGCAAGAGTGAACGACACAGAAAGGGTTCAAAAGTCCCACTGAGGTTTGCTGGCGTCAGTGGCAAAAGCTGGGACTTCTGTGCGTCTGTGGGGGCCTCGACAGCGCAAACTGGAGAAGTCAGACAAACCTATCGTGAAGAGACTGCATGGCAGTGGCCGTTGATGGAAAGTGGTTTGGTCCAACCTGAGCATCACAATGAGGCAGCTCAATCAGCTGAGCCCGAAGCAGAGGCCTTGCATGAACAGTCCTGAACTCTCTCTAAAGGTGTAACAGTTGAAGTCAACAGGCCCACTGATGAAGCCTGTCTGCCGTTGCCCATTCCAGCCTGCTGCAAACCCTGTTCCCAATGTTACATGCTGCGGCTCCTCCAATTGTGTTTGTGGAGTATTGCTTCCGTGGGCAATAGAATCTTGTGGCAGGAGGAGCTCGGAGAAGGCAAGACACTGCTACGGCAGAGCCTGTTGACACAAGGTTGAGGGCTTCAGCTCCTGACATGCCTCTCTTGAGTACCTTGCACTCGGCCCCAGTCGCACGACCCTCCGCTTGTTACATGTACTGGTGCAATACACATCTTGTGAAGCCATGGTTAAGCAACAACAGTAGAAGGTTGGACGCAAAAGAACACATGCTGTCCAGATGAGCAAGAGATGAGGCCTCAAGTAGCTCAGAAGCTGTCAGCCAATCTGATGCGGAGCAGGTTCTGACTACCAGCCGCGGGCCTGGAAGAGCTTAGGCCCACTCTGCTAAAACTCCTGCTCTCCCATCCTATCGGGCTCACCACTTTGAATGCCGGGATGCCGAGGATGGGCGACCAGGCGGGCGCCTACAGCGCCTACGATCAGCAAGCCATGCACCAGCAAGTTCCAGAAACCATGCCGCTGTCTCAGCCGCAGAATACGAACCGTACAACAAGGGGCTGTTGTAGCGCCAGTGGCCGAGGCTCTTCATCCTCGCCTCAAGTGGAGCACGAAGATCCAGTAGGAGCGCCAAAGCGAGCTCCTTCTTGTGACCCAGTGAAACTGGGCCAGCTGGCCACGTTTGGCCAGCGGGCCACGTTTGGGCTTGCAGAGATTCAGCATACCTGGCAGCAGACGTCTTTGGTACACTTGTGCCTCAGCTTTGTAGATATCCTCGGTGCCTGCGGCTTCTAGAAGAAGCCAGTGCCCGTCACAAATGAAAGTGGGCTTTGCATCATGTTCCTTCATGCGTCATAGGCCATATATAGGGCCATCATGTGAATCAGGACCTGACAGACCGAACGCCTGTTTGCGACAAGCTTGCCTTTAGACTTTCAAGCCTGTGACTACCGCACCAAAACAGCCAGGGCCTGCACAGCAGCCGTACCACCAGCAAGACACTGCACCTGCATGCTTCAGCCCAGAGAGCCGCGAAGAGGGCATCGGAGCCGTTGCAGCCATGAGATATGGCCTGCTCTTGTTCCTTGACTGCTTTCGAGAAGGTGCCCGATGAAAGTCAGCTGTATGGACGTCAGCCGTATGTGCGCACGCCGAGAGCCCATACACAGCATGCCCACTTTAGACCAAGCAGCTCAGCTGGGGCCCAGCACGTGGCAGGTGCGGGCTCATACCGACTGCTTCCCAAGCTGTGCCCTGAATGCTTGGCAGAGCCGTTGGAGATGGACTACTTTGCAGGAGCCTGGGCTGGGGGAGGTGGTTGGGATGCACAGGCCTTATCATACCATAAGCATAGGGACATTAATGCTCGTTAAAGCTTTATAGAGGTCCGTAACCGTCAAATGTACATCTCTCGACATCCTGATAAAGCTCCTTACAAGTCGTTCCTCCGTGGGTCCACTGGCGAAGAGGAGGTGCAACCGACATACGTGACTTGAGCACAGCGAACCCAACACCTTGACCCGAGGAGAAGTCCTAAGATCCGGACAACAAAGCCACAGAGTAAAGATCCAGCCTGTCAAGACCTGTTGAGTCAAGAGCCACATACGAAGGATTCTATGTGAAATGGACACCACTTGCCCTTGTTCAACTCACCCAATCCCAATTTGACTTGCGGCTGCTCTAGGACTCTAGGAGTTGGGACGCAGCTCCGTCTCTTAAGGCGTGATGCATGAACTAGTTACTAGAGGCCTGAGGAAGCCACGGATTTCGGAATACTGCCCCGAAATTGTCGTTCCAAACCCTAAAGTATCCAAAACATCCAGGCCAGAACGCCTTGTTTGTTCCGCCCAAACCCCTCTCAGCTCTTTCAATTCTTCGGCCACGCAGGGGCACCTGGCGCGGCACCCCCCCGGCTGCGCGCCCCAACGGCGGCGGCATTTGAGGCCGCCGCCCGCTCCGGCAAGGTCGGGCTCGGTTCTTCCTGGGTGTTAGATTCTGAGCTGTTTTCCTCGCCCGGGTCTCCAGTACTCCTCGCTCGGGTCCCCCTGGAGTATTGACACTCCTGGAGTCCCCACCGGAAGAATCCCGCAGAGAATCCTGGAGCTCACTTCCAGTGCCCATCCATGCTCTTAATGATGGGGATGTTGTCGCAGCTAGGTTGTTACGCTTCTTCAGAGGTCAGGTGGGCACCCAGGTCAGGCCACGCGCAAATTAACGAAAGAGGTCGATGGGGTATGCATCAGGTTAGAGGTGGGGACACAGGGGGTCGCAGAACCTCTGACGTCTACGGCCGAGGCCGAGGCGAAGGTTTTTTTGTTGTAATTTGCTTATAAGATTCCTTGTTTCAAGTCGCCTGTGTTTTGCCTGTCCCTGCCAGGTGCTCATCTTGGAAAATGCCTCCAGTGGCGCTGCCCTGGAAGGTTGGACATGTGAACGTCTCGCTCAGGACAGCCACACGCTGCACCCACACTGCATGGAGGTTCGGCTTAACCGAAAGATAGCCGCAGTGTTGACGCAGCTGTCTGGAGGAGTTTCCAGAGGCGAAGATGCGCCGGGAGTACGACTGGGTAAAGAACCCACAGGCCAGACAAGATGAGAAATGATGAGATCTTATTCAATTATCCTTGCTGTCGCCCCACAGGATCGGAACACCCAGGAGATGGGCAAGGTAGCCTGGGCTTCCTCCCTGGAGCATGGGGAAGATGCCCAGGAGCGGCTGCGACAGGACCCAGAGTCTCCTCCGTTTGCACCCTTTTACTGGGGTGTGCGGGAGCACGGCAAAGGCGACTTAGGATCCAAGAAGGTGGTGAAGCGCATTCGCCAGCTCATCAAGGAATCCATCCCACCATTTATGGACCCTCAGAATGCCGAGTCCCTCTTCAACAATGCGGAGTTCTGGCTTGGTGCTAAGGGAACCGGGGCAAGGGCCCACATGGATTCGCACTGTATCAGCACGCTGAGCGTGGTGCTCCATGGGGAGCGGCGCTGGCGCATAGGGCCAGTGCCACGGCTGCCGAAAGGAGCAGGGCGGTCGCCTGACGACGAAGTGGTCTTCGATGATGGCGTAGCCTACAAGCTTGGCTGGAAGCCAATGTTCGAGTTCACAGTGAGGGAAGGTGAGGCGGTCCTCTTTCCTCCAGGCTGGATACACGAGACATTGAACACCGCAGACGATTGTACGGTTGCTCTTACAACGCAGTTTGACCTTCCCATGCCAGTGCGGTACTACCGATCCTTCTACCAGCGTCTTAGGCGCATCGGTGACTTGTACGGCTGCTGGCGTGATATGGTGAGCTGGGCAGGTGCAAATGGTGCAAAAGTTCCCAAGCCAGGTGATGCCACAGCAATGGCTGAAAGGGCCTACAACGACATCGAGCAGAAGAGGCGAACCCTCAAGCCGAAGGAGGTTGACTTCTTCGATCTGGACGAGGATCAAAATGTCACAAGGGAGGAGTATGTGCAGACCTTCGCAGCCTGGGCTGCAACAGAGCTGGCGATAAGAAAGGAGAAGCGCAAGCATGTCCCGAAGTGCGACATGAGCTGGGATGACAAGGTCGGGCGGACATGTCAGCCAACTTGAGTCACATGCCCTAAACTCTGCAGGGTAGCGCCCTGAGTACTGAGTGCTGCCGAGGCCGCACGATGTTGTAGTTTCGAGGCTCGCAGGTATCCTTTCCCAATGCCCAACCTGTCGGAGGTGCTTCGAAGCATGGAGGAGCTCTGATGGCGGCTTGTACATAATGATGAGGGGGCGCAATAGGGTGAGAAGTATCCATTCAACGGTCATATCTGCATTCGCTCCATTGCTTCGGGTCTGCCAAGTATCCGTCCTTGGCGTGCCATGGCACGCAAGCAAGTCTCCTGGCTCAAGAACTCGATTCCGCACGGTGAGTCGTAAAAGCTTGCGTAGACAGAAGCTCGAGACCGACAGACCCAGACAGTGTTAGTGTATGTTAGTTAGTGTTTTTTCTTCGAGGACCTATGCTGCCATGTTCCCACGTCAAGAAGCAACCGTGGTCATCACCCCAAATGCTACCAAACATCCTTGAGTTGAGGCAGCCGCGAGTTGTGGAGTTGCGAGAACCAGTCCCACAGAATGTGCCTGCAACAGAGGGGCACCTAACTCGCAGCCGTTGCTTCTCAGTGTCCAATGCCATGGCCGACGCTCGTCTGCAAACGGTTCGCAGCATGAATGTGAGATCACCGCCCTCGGAAGGCACAGCGCCCTAAGTGTAAGGACTGGGCCGCCTACGCGGCGGCTCTTCAGGCCCTGGTGCCAAGCTTAACCAGCTCAATGCTCCGATCCTGATCTCCTGACACAGAGCACAGTTTGTTCCCTGCTGCGTGTTTTTCCTAAGGGGGTGCCCCCGTCAGCGCCAGCACCTGTCGTCCCAGGAGCCGCTGTGGCCTCAGAGGCTTTTTTGTTATGTTCTTGTCGAATGTCCTGGGAGAGGACATCCCGAGAGGCATTGGCAGCTAATTGAATTGTTGCACGCAAGTTCATCTTTGTTGCGCGGGTGGTCTGCATTTTGCCAGTGCAGTCTTGCTTTGGGCACACCATTGCCTTTGTTTGAGTTGAGGGTGCTGATGGCTGATAGCGCTTCTGCTGTCTCTTGCACCTGCTCCACACGAGCAGGAGCAGAGTCGAATTCCAGGTCGCATAGCCTAGAAGCTCCTCTTTTCTCATGCCATCTTCCTGCTCCTCCGTGCTTCCCCTCGACCTGAAATTACAGTGGAGGCCGAGGCTTCCGCTCAATCCTTCCGCGATCTAAGCAGCGTCTTCTGAGCTCTTTTTCCTGGGGCCCAGGCGCCTGTGGCTGCCGCCCCATTTGCGGGAACAGCAGCGGCCCTAGGGTGAGATGCGCCCCGCATCTTGTCGGGCCATGTGGCAAGATGCTTTGACGAGGCATTTGTGCAACCCATCGCTCCATCAGTGAGAGGCTCAGCAGAGACTTTGACAGACCTGAACTTATTTGGAAATTCAAAGTACTTCCGCATACTTCCACCATGCTTTGGCTGGTGTTGGCAAGCAGACTGTGCAGGGCCCCTCAACGCCCTCAACTCAATCTGGCCCAACCTGGTCGACCGCAATTGACCACCGCTCATGAACTGAAGGCTCGAGTGGGAGGCCTCAATGCGTGACCTTAGGGGATGCCTGAGAAGCCTGAAGAAAATCACAAGGATTCAGTAAGAAGTCCAAGGCAGCCAAAGAGCCGTTGCGAGATGTCAATGCTGTTGTTGCATGGCGTGGCTTAGGTGGGGGTGTCACCCGCGCCGCTGGCGGCGCCATTTGCGCAGCCGGCAGCAGCACCTGTGGCTGCTGCCTGAGATGACGCAGTCACTTGCATCAGGTGCTTGCTCCGACGGCAAAGTATGCGAGGACCTTTGACACCAGTGACACCTGTAATTAGTGCTGCGCTGCAGCCGCCGACAGCTGCTATTGAGCATTCAGGTCTTTCGGGTCCTCCTGTTATTTCGAAGTCTGCCCTAAAATAAACTTCGCATCGCAGTTGTGTGACCACTGCGCGGGTCCCCATAGTTGTGCTCTTGGGCTGGGTTCGTGAGGCTGCCGACCCCGGCACCACTGCTGCCATCGCTGCAGCTGGGGCTCGGCTGTTCTACATGGAGCGGAAGCAGCCTTAGGTGACGAATGCCTTTGACTTGTCATTGCCTCCGCAGGCCCTCGCGCTTATACAGCCCCAACCGCAAGCGCAAGCGCCTCCCATAGCAGGCATGCACATCCGGACAGCAGTGAAGTCAGAAGCTAGCCCCCATGCAGATTGGAGGTGGTTATGGCGCAATTCGGCCGGCGCGGGCTTTTGGTGTCGAGCGTGCATGCAGTATAATAAATGGTAGAACGCGCTCTGGTGTGACCAGTGGATCATCTGCATGCTGAGGTCCATGCAGCTCCTCACGCTGCCCCATACGCTCGGGTGCGCGAGACAAGCTGCATGAGCCCATCGCGACGTAACAGAAGTCTAGCTTCCCTGCCCTGGCGACTGGTGGGTGGGATTTTGTTTCTGTCCACCCGCTGCCCTGGCTTCTGTCGAACCACGCTGGAGACTGAGACTTTGACAAAGGCATGGCAATATCTGTCAAAACATGCAGGCACCTACTGCGCCATCGCCACCTCCAGTCTTGGCCTCACGGGTTGACCTTGGTGATGATTCGTTCTTGTTTCATTGTCAGCGTGATCAAGGCTCAGACGGCTGTGCCTAGCATCCCAGGCCCGGCATTGGCACCATCTAGCTCCCACAGGCCCATGCCGCTCGTTGCCGCATGCCTTGCTTCTGGCAGGTCTGGATCCTGCGACGCTAGCTGCCATTACTGCTGCTCTGGGTCTTGGAGGGCAGCCGGCCCCCACACCAGCAACGACAGCAACAACTGCCAGAAGCTGAGCTGAGAGAATTGGACGTGCCCTTCCCGCCCACACTTCAGTTTGACAGCCTCACTCGGAGGTGCTGCCGGCGCTGAACAACCTGCCGGGGCTGCAGGGGCTGGACCTGGGAAATCTGGCAGGCGCGCTGAAGGATCGTCTCACATGAGTATCGCATGAGTGCAAGGAAGAGAGGGTTTGACAGCAACTGCTTTCCTTCGAAAGGCCTTGCAAACATCCCGGGGTTGGGGCAGCAAGGGTCCGATTCTTGGATGGCAGCCAAAGACCCGGAGACAGTGGGGGGCGGATTGGTGACTTTGGGCGCTGTACGGTACACGTGGGTACACCGTGGGTACACCGTGGGTACACCGTGGGTTCATCGTGGGTTCTGGATCCTGTAGGACCAGTCGCGTTCGGAAGCCATCTGATCTAACTTATGAGCAGTTTTGTGCGTGGCCCCCAGTCGTCACATGCCATGGCGAAGCGAAGGACAAGGTTTGCTCTTGGCAATAGGGAGGTGCGGCTGGAAAGGGGGGATTTTGCCTCAAGACTCATGGAGAAAAGGTGTGATTACTATTCGAATCAGCGTCATGTAGCTCCCTCGTTGGCTGCCCAAAAGACTTTAATTCATGTGTGTTCAGAATTCTCTTCAAGCATGCCGCAATGCTCTCGCAGTGCGTGGACATGGTTGGCTTTGTACTTCAGCCTCTTGCAGGAAGAGCGAGGGGGTCCGTTTAGCTAGTTTCTTATGCCAGGCTGTTTGGGTATCTGGCGCAGCTTATGCTCAGACTCTTGTCGAATACACCCATTCTGAGCAGGACAATGAGTGGTGAAACAAGGTGCACAGCACATCCGGGTACAGCTCGCCAAGCGAGTATTCCTGCAGCCGAGCCCATGGCGCAACCTGCGGCGGGCAAAGATGCGGCAACATCGGCAAAGTATTCGGAGACGATGTGCCCAGTCTGCAGTATTCTGCAGTCTGCAAGGCACGATTCTCCAGTTCCGAGGGGTCTGGACGTAGATTAGGCAGAAGCAAATGGGAAGCAGCCTCGTGTACAAGCACGAGGACTCCCTGTCGCTGGTACCCGTACCTGTTGCACGGATCAAGAGAACTATCGTTGAGCTCCGCAGGATGGCATAAATTATGCCAAGTGTTTCGAGCGGATCTATGTCGGCTCCTGCCTTCAGTCTGCTGCAGACGTTGACACGCATCTTGGTCATGCGACAAACATCAGGGTAGAAGAAGACGATGGCTTCTTTGCAGCCACGCACAGCCAAAAAGCCAAGGCTCAAGAAAGAGGGTGTGGGCATCGTGTTTTGCTTGCAGGAAGACAAGGACCTTTTCTTCTTGTTGCCTTGCACGTCTGTGTTTTGCGTTTAACCCTGCCGCTTGGAAAGGACATGTCTCACTTCAACATCGATCTAGCCCCGATACTTGCCAGGGCACAGGAGGTGGACATGTTGCATGTGAGGCTGGGAGTTTAGCGCATGGAGCAGTACTTGAATGCGAACTTCTGCAGTCTCTAACGAGGTGGATTGGCTAAACCAAAATGGGTTGCACCCTGCCGAGGCATCCGATCAAAGACTTTGACCCATTGTCACTCCGCAAGCACCTGGCCTTATTACGGTCTGTAAGCTGCAATCGATCTTCACATGCACGATGCTCAGAAGAGGAACCTGCACAGCAGCAGAGCAGGAGGGTGCTTCTGCTTGCCCATTCCCTGCGCCTGCCCAGGCAGCTTCCCGGCGCTGTTCGGCGACTCAATGCGGAGATGCTTGCGCGACCAAAGGACTACTTCAACCAGTGTTGACAAAAGGGTTCGTGAGAAGATCGGGATCCGGACTATGCGCGACCTGCCAGACAGCAGCCGCAGCCCATGTGCACGCATCTTCCTGCACCGCTCAGTGTGCATCGTGCAATCGCTTCGAGAGGACGTCGCGTACATTCACTGCACTGCTGGTCTGGGCAGGGCTCCTGCGACTGCCTTGGGTTACATGCCGCTCGGCCATGGAATGATGTGCAGTCTTACAGGCTGCGGTGCTCTTCATGGGCTGGGATTTGACCCAGGACATGGGCAATTCTTGACCGGCCGGCAGATTCCTGCGGCCTAGAAGTCGAAACTGCTAGAAGGTGGACACACCTCGTGAGTGTCGTAGAAGTTTGCGGTCTAAGACGCCCGGTGGACTCAGCTGGGCTTCATTGTGGGTGCGTCGATGGATGGCGGGGGTGGCGGCGTGGTGGTGACTGTGTAAGAAGCGAACACGCCGGGGTGTTGTAGTTATAACAAGGTGAGTTTGCCAACCAAGAACTACCAATATGACAATGCGGTGTCGTCAAAAGACAAAATGACACATTTTTGCTAGCATAAGAACGTCGGCGCCAAGCACAGGTTCATGGTGGAAGGTATGGACCTTGACGAGGCTTACGCGCACCTGCCTCTTGGCTTTGACTTGACAAGTTTCAAAGTTTGAGCCTGGTGTCTGATCACACCTCCGGGCTGAAGCGCACCGTGGTAGGTACAAGAGTCGAAGATGCCATCCGCTGCTCCTCTCAACGTTCATGAACCTGCTTGCTTGCTCGCTTGCTTGCTTGCTGGTACCTCGAACCAACATGCACATCGAGCAAGCTTGCGCTGCACAGATCTGCATAAGGCAGCTGAACATGGTCCGTGCTGCGGCTTGCGATCCGTCCTCAGAGAGTAAGAATGCGGGATGACGTTCAAGCAGGTGTCCAGAACGGGTCGCATACATGCCAGTCGTGCAGGACATGCTTGGTGGCAGCATGGGTTCCGGCCGGTTGCACATCTCCGGCAAGTTCCCGAAGGCTTGGACCGGACGAGCTTGCATGGACTGGTCCGCGAAGAAGCTCTACCAGCTTTGTGCTGAGGCGACGTCGGTGGAGGTGGCCGGCCTTGACATCGGCTGGCACGAGAGAGTTCCACTTGTGCCACGCTTAGTGCTGATGAGGCTGCTCATGAGTTGTAAGTTGCGTCCAGCAGTTAACGCTTGGGCAGGTGAAGAATGCAACTACCGGTGAATTCGTCCTCGAGCGGGACACCCCACCAGGAGTTTACCAGTACAAGTTTATTGTAGATGGCGAGTGGACACTGGGCGGCTCTTCCTTTGAGTTCTGCATGCCACGCATGTTTGTAGCGATACGCTTGTCTTGCAGTAGCGGGAGAAGCTCACCCAGGATGGCGAATCCCGACCTGCCCACCGTCACCGACAATGGAATCTGGATGGCATAGAATGCTGCTGCTCGGGGGATGTGGAGGGTGAGCGCGTGGCCTTCAGTGCGGCCACAATACAACACAATAAATGGGCTTCCTTTTGCAGTAAAGTTCCGGTTCGGTTCGGTTCGTGTCGGTTCCCGGGCCGGCGGTTCGTAGCGGTTCGGTTCGTTCGGCGGTTCCGGTTCCTAACGGTTCTGTGCGCACTCGGTTCGGTTCGGTTCCAGAAAACCTGAAAGCCCTAAACACACCGAAGCCCTCATGTTCTTGACCCTGCTGATGTGTTTCGACTCCCCAAAACTTTTCCTTGAGGGCAGGTTTCCAGGTTTGGACGCCCCAAACGTGCAGGTTTCCAGGTTTGGACCCCGGAAACGTGCAGGTTTCCAGGTTTGGACCCCCCAAAACGTGCAAGTTTCCAGGTTTGGACCCCCAAAACGTGCAGGTTTCCGAACCTTTCCGCGATCCCTTTGACACGGGATCGCGGGAAACGTGCAGGTTTAGAGGTTTGGACCCCCCAAAAAGTGCAGGTTTCGAGGCTTGGACCTCCCAAAACTGCAGGTTTCCAGGTTTGGACCCCCCCGAAACGTGCAGATTCCTCCCAAAACGTGCAGGTTTCCAGGTTTGGACCCCCCAAACGTACGTTTTTGGGGGTCCAAACCTGCAAACGTGCACGTTTCGGGGGGGGTCCAAACCTGGAAACCTGCACGTTTCTGGGGGTCCAAACCTGGAAACCTGCACGTTTGGGGGGTCCAAACCTGGAAAAAAACCTGCACGTTTGGGGGGTCCAAACCTGGAAGCCTGCACGTTTTGGGTGGTCCAAACCTGGAAACCTGCACGTTTTGGCAGGTCCAAACCTGGAAACCTGCACGTTTGGGGGGTCCAAACCTGGAAAACCTGCACGTTTGGGGGTTCCAAAACCTGGAAATACCTGCTGCTGGTTTCCAGGTTTGGACCCCCCAAAATGTTGACGTTTCCAGGTTTGGACCTAAAGGTGCAGGTTTCCAAGTCCCAAAACGTGCAGGTTTCCAGGTTTGGACCCTCCAAAATGTTGACGTTTCGAGGTTTGGACCCCCCAAAACGTGCAGGTTTCCAGGTTTGGACCCGCAGGTATCCAGGTTTGGACCTGCCAAAACGTGCAGGTTTCCAGGTTTGGACCCCCCAAAACGTGCAGGTTTCCAGGTTTGGATCCCCCAAAACGTTGATGTTTCCAGGTTTGGACCCCCCAAAACGTGCAGGTTTCCAGGTTTGGACCTCCCAAACGTGGCTTTTGGTGGCTTTTCGGAGACCCTGGATCCAATGGCCCTGGCCATGCGAACTGAAGGTAGGCTCCGTTCACATGGCCCTGACCATGCGAACTGAATGTCCTGGCCATGCGAACTGAAGGTAGGCTCCGTTCATGGCCCTGGTCATACAAACTGAAGGTAGGGAATTGAAGCTAGGCTCCGTTCACATGGCCCTGGCCATGCGAACTAAAGCCAGGCTCCGTACACATGGCCCATGCGAACTGCAGGTTTCCAGGTTTGGACCCCCAAAACGTGCAGGTTTCCAGGTTTGGGCCCCCAAAACGAGCAGGTTCCAGGTTTGCAAAACGTGCAGGTTTCCAGGTTTGGACCCCCCAAACGTGCAGGTTTCCAGGTTTGGACCCCCCCAAACGTGCAGGTTTCCCAAAACGTGCAGGTTTCCAGGTTTGGACCCCCCGAAACGTGCATGTTTCCAGGTTTGGATCCCCCAAACGTGCATCCCCCCCAAAACGTTTTCCAGGTTTGGACCCCAACACGTGCAGGTTTCCAGGTTTGGACCCCCCAAAACGTGCAGGTTCGTGCAGGTTTCCAGGTTTGGACCCGCCCCAAAACGTGCAGGTTTCCAGGTTTGGCCCCCCCAAAACGTGCTAACCTGCATGTTTGGGAGGGTCCAAACCTGCAAACGTGCACGTTTTGGGGGGGGTCCAAACCTGGAAACCTGCACGAACCTGCACGTTTTGGGGGGTCCAAACCTGGAGACCTGCACGTTTTAAGGGGCTCAAACCTGCACGTTTTGGGGGGTCCAAACCTAAACCTGCACGTTTGGGAGGTCCAAACCCAAACCTGGAGGACCTGGAGGGGTCCAAACCTGGAAACCTGCACGTTTTGGGGGGTTCAAACCTGAAACCTGGAAACCTGCGCGTTTTGGGAGGTCCAAACCTGGAAACCTGCACGTTTGCGGGGTCCAAACCTCATTGTGGGAGGTCCAAACCTGGAAGCCTGCGCGTTTGGGGGTCCAAACCTGAACCTACACGTTTTGGGAGGTCCAAACCTGGAAACCTGCACGTTTTGGACGTCCAAACCTGGAAACCTGCCGAAATAGTGAAAAGTTTAGGTGATGGGAATTATCCTTCTGGCCCCCGAGACCATGCAATATAGGTTTAAGGACCTCGAAACCTCGACAAAACCTCTTCACTCCAATCGTGACAGAAGTGTTTGGGCTCTGAAACCTCTTCACTCCAATCGTGACAGAAGTGTTTGGGCTCTGTGCACATCTCTAATGATGAGTTTGAAGGGGCCAAAACTTGATTCTAGGCCCTGAAAATCCGGATAAAAACCATGATATCTTAAAACTTTGCACCTCCAAGACCCTCCAAAAAAGGGTTAACCGAGAACCGAGTCATGACTTTGCAACAGTTTGATTGTTTCAAAACAAGTTTGGAGGGATCCAAACCTTTCCAGTACCATGCTCTATTTGACTTGGGCTCCTGGCCGAGACCGGTTCGCTGTCGAAACGGTTCCGGTTTTCGGTTCCCTTGCGGTTCACGGTTCCTACGGTTCGTGTTTGCTGGCCGGTTTTGGCGGTTCGGTTCGTGGCGGTTCGGTTCGTGCGGTTCCGGTTCGGTTCCAGAACCTTCCTGCTTTTGCAACTGCATTCTTGAACTCTGTTCTCGTGGCCGTTTCTTCGCAGAGGGGGCTCTCTCGCTGCAGCAGCATCGGATGCGCTCCCAAAGGTTCACTTAATTTTAACGCTACGCGACCCGCCTCGGCCCGGCCCAGCGCAGCGCCCAAGTCGCTGGACCCCAAGCAATAAGGGTTGGGTTCAGGGGGTTGAGGGTTAGTTTAGGATTGAGGGCTTCGGGCTCAAGGTTCACGCTTTGGGGTTTAGGGTTTTTTTGGGTTTAGGGTTCAAGACGGTTCGGCTTGGATTGATCGTAGGGTTGAGCCAGGCCCCTCAGGGGGGGGTAGGGGGGGGTGGGGGGGGGGAGGGGGGCAGGGGGGAGGGGGGGTGGGGGGGGGGGGGGGAGGGGGGGAGGGGGGGGGTTTGTTGAAGGTTTGAGGGTTGAGTGGTTCGGGCTTCAGGTTTCAGGTTTCAGGTTTCGGGTTTAGGGTTTAGGGTTTAGGTTCAAGCTTAGACTCTTCGGCTCGTGTAATGCATCCCGGCCGTGCTCACACAAGTTGAGCCTCGAAAACCCGCTCACCAACATTCTGCGGCTTTGGGCGGGGAAAAGGGGAGGGGAAGGGGGGGGGGGAGGGGGTAGGGGGCGGGCGGGTGGTAGGGAGGGGGGGGCAGACCAGGTCGATGGCGACGGCCCATCCATTGAAGTTTTTTTGGATGGAGGAAGCAGCGCAAAGAAGGGGTGTGGGGGGGGGGGGCCCTGCCGGGAGGGGCTTCAACTGCCTCTGGTTCTGGCGAACCGTCCGCTTGCGGACCCCGGTTTCCTAGGGGTCCGAAAAACGGTTTTGGGTGTGGGGGGAGGATTTGCCTGTTCTGACAACCTATACACCTCCGGCCCCAGACCTGGGCGGATCTTCAAGCTCCTGCCTCATATTGCCTGATGTTCTTGAGGCAACCTGAACAACCTGGCCCGCGTCAGCCCCACGCCCGGCAGCGCCGATGCCGAGCGGCGGGAACGGATGATGAAGAAGGGTGGTCGGCCCACTGACGAGGAGTGCTTCCGCTGTTTCCATGACTTCGGCTGTGTCCTGGTGATTTCGACTGTGTCCCAGGATGTCCTACTAGTAAGACTTAGTAAGAAATCGTAAGACCTAGAAAGTCCTGGAGACCAGGAGTGGAAGCAGCTGCAAAGCATGCTTGCAGTGCCAGCAGCGCGGGAGAGCGGCGGCAAGAGTGGATATGGCTCCTGACATCCCTGAGCCCGTGTGCAGTGTTGTAGCACACGTAGACAGATCGATTGGAAGAGCGAAATAGAGGTCCTGGCTTCTTCAAGGCGGCACTGTGTTGAACCTTTCGAACCCTGAAGAAAGCGCAAAGATAAACGTGGGTGCCAAGGCTGGATGCCCGACCGCCGAGGAGCGCTCCAGCTATTGCTTTTATTTGCCGTTCAGGTCAGATGCTGTCCAGATCTGTGCGGTGTAATTATGGTTTCAGACTTCAGCGGGCTACACGCGGCGACCTTCTTGTGTTGCGGTAAGGCCCATCATTTTCGCAAGTCGACCGAAACTCCGTTTCATTGGGGCGAAGCATTTCTTGAATGATGAGCGCTGCAGAGCATGCGGCGCCGGAGGAAAATTAATGATGCGTAGTACATGTTTAGTACTGTGCACGCTGCGTTTCATTGGGGCGGTGGTCCTTCACCAACCACTTTGGGTGATGTATTTCAGCATACGTAAGCTTTGCAAGCCACACAACTGTGTATGGCTTGTTGATAGCTGTAAGATCATGCGTTCAGTGGGGGGAAGGGATCTCGCGGTTCATTGCGTCTAGAACCGGCAACTTTCCCGAGCCGCTGTACGCCGCGCCTCCTAAACCTTTCGCCTTCATTCGGGCTTTACCAGATTTTACCATGATTTTACCTGTGCGAGGAATCCTCCAGGCGTCATCGGCCGCAGGCCCAAAGCCAAAGCAGCCAGCCATGTGAGGAACTTGGAGGAGCTCTTCACACTGTTGCTCAAGTGCCCCTTGACCCACAAGCTGAGGTGCAAATTCCTCGACTTACAGACGAGGCGCGTGTCCGTTGCGGGTGCTGGCAAGTCAGGATTGCATTGTGTGAGGATGGGGCTTGCAGCGTGGGCGGGGGACTGGCGGAACGAACAAAGCACAAAGTACATCGCAGCTGCCTCAGCCGTGGTGAGGGAGTAGACATTCAAGAAACGAGGGGCACAGTCAACAGATAATAAGTAGTAGTCAGCAACAGCCCTTTAAACGTCATACAGACACACACACACACAGAAATAGAGCAGAGCCAGCAAACTGGCTGGACAATATCACGAACGCGACAGCCACGTTCAACAGACAACAGAAACTCGTGTGCACGTGCGAAAATCCGCATTTGGGCGTTTGCTGAATGTGTCCTTGTGTTTAGCTGAATGTGGCTCTTTCTGAAGTTGAAGCTTCTTAACGGGGTCGAGCTGGAACCCTGCGATGGCTCATGTGCCACGTTTCCGTATGTAAGGGAAGCTCAGCGGCCGAGAACGAAAATAGGGAGTGGGACATCATAAAACTAGATGGAAGATGGAGACAATCGACAACCGCGGCCTCGCCCGCTCTGTGCCAGTGTGAGAGTCGAAGCAATGGACAACGCAAACCTTAAGAAGGAAGGGTGGGAAACAAAGAATCGGCACCGAAGCCGGCTGTAGTCGCAAATGAGGATGCACTGTTTCATGAGACAAGATGACCAGATGATCTAGTAGATATCTAGTAGCCAACCATCATTACACAATTGTACTGAGTGCAGTCCAGTCTTGAGGAGGCCTCTGTGTCAGAGTTGATCCTGGAACACGCTTGTTCTGCAATCTGATGCAGGAGGTTGCCAACCCAGGAGCGTTGCTTGAGGCGGGTTGCACTGTTGCTCTGAGCATGTGAGGAAGTTTGTTGACACACCACGCAACAGCAGGCAAGAAAGCCTGGCATAATCTGCTGCTTGTTAGGCAGCAGATTCCCGCAATGAGGGCCGATGTAGAGCGCTGGCCGGATCCTTGCTTGGACCAGTTCCACTTGGAGTGTGTTCCGCTGGTGCCTTGAGACGTGGTCAAAGACTCTTCGTACTGTTAACCAATGTATGCAGTATACATCTGTTCACGTTGTGTTACCGTAGCTGCAGAGTCAACATACAATGGCGCGATGATGCAGCGCTGTCCTGTCCCTGTGGTGAAGAGCCGCGGACGCAAGGTGCTGCACTCGAGTTTTCGGGGCATCAATGAGAAGCTCAAGGACACGTGTAGGATGAAGCAGAGAGTGCATTGAGTGCATGCAGCTTAAGTGAGCGCAGGTTGCTTGCGCCCTGTGTCGCTCTGTGAAGGATGGCCGCACGGCCCTGCATGTGGCTCGGGGCTGAGCCTCTCTGGAAGCATCCGGGAGGGTTGCAGAATGATAGGGACCTGGTTATGAGCTTTGTTTGCTTGAGCTCCAGGTCGAAAAGCCAGCCAAAACCCTAAATTGGGGGTTCGGGTCGGGTTTAATTGCGAGTGATGGAGTAGTCAGGATGTAGTCAGGGCAGGTCGCCGAGAGGCCTTACAGATCCAAAGGCTGTGGCAAAACGTTGCGACGATTGCACAAGAAGCGAAACAAAAAAGTTTTCTCCGAAACGTTAAACTTCGGTTCTGACTTGAATACAACTTGCGCCGCGCTCCGCGTGTTTTTCCTTTTCCCCACCCGACAAGCGGGGTTGTTGATTTCAAGGATGCGGTGGCATGCATCAGGTGACGTGATGTGCTCAGGATGGCAGGCCATCAGGTGGGCAACCGCGCCAGAATGTCGCTGGAAAATGCAGGCCAGGGAGGCACAGGCAACTGTACCGGGATGTTGCCATATTTTGCCTGCATAAGCTCGCCGGAAAGTTGACTTCATACGCAGGCCAAGGAAGCGCGGGCGAGCAACTGTAACTGTCACGGAATGTTGCCCTAACTGGCAGGCCAGCAACGCTTAGGTGCCGACATGTTGCCGCAATAAGCAGACCCGGGAGGCTCAGACGGGCAACTGTGCCGACATGTTGCTTGAATAAGCAGGTCAGGGAAACTCAGGTGCCGGAAAGCTGCCGCAGCAAGCCGACCAAGAAAGCTCTGGTGGGCAACTGCTGAATGTTGCTTTGATATCTTGGATAGGGTGGGCAACTGTACCGAAACAATAGCTTGCCTGAACAAGCAAGCCCGGGAGGCACAGGCAACTGTAGAGTTTAAGTTTAAGGCGTTTAAGGACAGAAAGCCCGCATGCCCGCATCAGGTGACACGATGCGCTCGGGACAGCCGCACAATACTCAGGGCCAAGACATTCAGGACCAGAGGCAGACAGCAGGTAACAAGCAGCCTTGAGGGCGGGCTGAAGGAGGGGTGGCGCTTCATGATAGAAACTCCCGTCCCGACGTTGCAACTTACAATCCTCGCAGTTGGATTTTCGGTACAAGGAGTGGATTACCGAAGTCGTAACTTTGAGAAAGTGCCCGTGGCATACTCAGGGATATGCAGGGCAGGCCGTTGAGAGCGGCCTTGAAACTGACATTGAATGACATTGACGTGTATTCACTTATTTCACATAACGAATATTATTGTGAGGAACTGGGAAGCGTAATCACGAACGCCGACCCAAACACCTGGGTGACCCAGCAAGAGGAGACCGAGGGATTGAGGAGAAAGGTCCAAGGAAAACAAGGAAAAGAAGCCCACCTGTATGCACGGATATCAATAAAGTGATGTCCCGAGTTCAAGCAAAGGCATCAGAATCTTTCAAAAAGCTCACATTGGGGGCTCCTCTGAGGCCATGCTCCGAAAGCTCCCAGAGGACCTGTGCTTGTACGGAGCCCTAACGCATCTCTTTCAGCCATTTCAGCCATCGACGTTTGCTCACCTTGACTCGCTGCCTGAAAGTCGAGCACAGCTCAGATTCAGACCTACTAACGTGCGGTGGATCTGGAAAGTAACGCCGCAGTAAGAGGAGTCTCAGTCCGCGGCCGGTGGTGCACGGGCGCAGATACTTTAGGTCTTTAGGTGTGTGGGCGTGTGGGCTTTGTGTTCGCACTCTTAGACCGCTTAGACCTTCAGGCAGCTACAGCCTTTGTTGAGAGCTGCTGACAGCTCCTGTACACCTGCCAGGATTACACATGGCGTGATACATTGGTAAATGGGTCGGATGTTAGACAAGGATTGACTGGTGTTTTTTCTATTTTGCAGACACGTGTCACTTGTGACGCTTCCCTGTGGTTGGTTGTGAAGAGTGCCTGCCCTGGCGCGTTTATCCTCGGCACGCTTGGGAGGGTGGCAGGACCAGAGCCATGGTGGGTTCTTGTGGCGACATGTTATTATGGCGCGTTTATACGTTCTGGTGGGGCCTTAGGCCAAAGGTCAACAATGCATCGTACGTTTTGGTGCCTCAGGGCCATCGCCATGCACAAGGATTTCAATGAGGCCAATGCTGTCGACACGCGCGCAGCCCGGATTGGCTTATGGAAGAAGTGTTTGAAGACACAAGTGGCATGTACCCCCCCTTGCCAAGCTTCGGCTACACCTTGCTGATCCTTGCAGCCTCGAAGGGCATGTCGCAGGCAGGATGCGGTCCACAGCCATGCTGTGGCTTCTCGTGATGCTCGTGCTTAGCACGACCATGTCCGGCATTGCCTCGAGGTGTGCAATGCTATTCTCGACCGGGATGACTTTGTCGGTCTGAGCCTATGGAGTCCGCCCCAAGTTGCTCAACTACTAGTAGTTGCTAGCACCTTGCATCTCCCTAAGTCTCATGAATTCTCCTTGCAAATTGCGCCCATGACATGTCATGACTTATCATGACACGCGTGGTTTCCAAGGCGTCAATGCGCAGGACAAATGGGGGGCCACTGCCTTGCACTGGGCCGCAGACCAGGACGCGCTTCATTGCGCAGCGTTTGTGGCCGCGCTGCTTGGACACTGGCACTCTAGGATATTGCAGCAACCCTGACAGCCGTCAGCTTTCTCGGTCAAGCCAGTCGGAAAGCCACCGGCTCTGACATCTTTCTGACATACTGCCGCTCATCAGGACTTGGCCGATGTTTGCGAGAAGATTCTGTCGCACCCGGAGTTTGTTGAGGGCAACCGCCGAGTGCCTTGGCGGACAGGGAGACAGGCTTTGCAAGTACTCACAGTCAATCTTGGAAGCCGTGAGGCCTGGAGCTTCGCCTTTGAAGACAAGACCGCTCTGGATGTGGCCCTCCATCGAAACTGTAAGGCAAAGTCGAATTCGCTCCCATGTGCTGCTGTGAAGCCTCACTTCCATGCCGCAGGCAGCCGCCGATGTGATCCGTCGACATGTAGGTCCACCCAGGTAACCCGCAAAATGTGCCAGGCAAGGTGACAGCAGTGCGCTGCGTACTTTGTGGCTCTGATTGCTGAGGGGTGAAAACCGATCGAGAGATGGCTTTGGCAGTCCATCGTACGCAGAACCCAGTGTATCCAGACCCTCACCCACGCGAACACGAGCACGCACGGAGTGGGCAGAGGGAGCAGTGGCTGTGGGAGAAAAGCTTCGGCAGCAAATGCAAGCTGTGCATAGCAGACATGAAGAAAGTCGCAGCGATTTTCGGAATCTTTTCTTTTGCCCATGCATCAGGTAGCCCTCAGCTCCTCGCTGCGCTATCATTCCCTCGAAGTCGTATGTATTCACGCTTTCCGCTCTCGAATGGTGCCTCGGTCTCGTTCTTCACAAGGGCGCTTTGGAACCTCCCACGCCTTGGGCCATCACGTCGTCTCCTCGTCTCTTCGGCTCCGAGCACTGCTGGACCTCGCTTTTGCCCTCCTCTGCTGTTCCTCTTCTTCCACCAGTTTTTCCAACATGCCCGAGGTAGAGGGTTGGTCTATCCATTGTTTTTCGGAGTACTTCTCATCTGCTGTATTCTCTCCAACCTGAACTTTGCCGCACTCGACTCCTCGTGCTCGGTTTCGCGCCCTTCTCCGGCGCGTCCTGCCTCTATCCTTCCCACAAGCTTGCCCACTACTGTAGCGGGCGAAAGCTGACTCCCTTTCCAGAGAATGATCCTCGGCAGTTGGATGTGCAGAGGCTGCCAGGACCATGCGAGGGCATCCTCAAGGCCTGGCTGATATGGCACGGCCAGATACGGCCAGTGCCAAGTACAGCAATGTAGCAATCGACTCGGCAGACTCCGAGTCTCGGCACTTTCACCTTCCTACATGAGCAGACACGTGCCCTACCTTCATCTCGAGTCCCCCTTGACACTTCGCCCCTCCCTGCAGAGCAGTCCCCACTGCGAGCGTGTGTGTGTGCTGCCTGCGTGCTTCGTCTTGGACTCATGAAGTACGAGCCGGCGAGGCTGATGAACTTGTCACCACAGTCAAAATCGACCCCTGGATCATGGAAGGACAGAAATGGCAGGAGACTTAGGGTCTTGAAGACCAAGACCTCGTGCTCAAGGGGTCTTCGATGAGGAGTGCTCGTGCCGGCTGATGCGTACAGAGAAGTCAGGCTCGACAGCTCTGAGATCGATTTACCGTGTCTATAGTTGCTGTGCCCGTGCAGTAATTCACCTTTTTTGGCTCTGTACATGCCCTCCAACTAAAAGAAGCTACGAATAGCAGCATCCAGCAGCCATTCTAGCTTTCCTAGGCGAAGTTTGAGAATTGAGCGGAGCACCGTCAGCCCGTTAACTACACAGAGCGAGAAGGGGACTCCTTGGCTGCCACGTTTGAGCGGCATGGGATGCTGATTTTTTGTCCCACAAAGGCACCGGAACATAGCTTAGTCAAGGCTTAGTCAGTAGTGAACCTGAGTATTCCTCATGAGCTGAATGTCTTCCCACGCCCTGTTATGGACGTTGGCGATCCGCCGGAGCCTTGAGAGTCATTGGGCTGTTGCACTCCAGAAGTTGCGAGCCAGAGACAGGCGTGGCGCCTGAAGGCATAAGGCATAAGGATTTTTGTCTTCGACGTGATGTATCGAGTGAATTCAGCAATTTTGGCTCTACACAAATGCGCCTCACACCGACGTGGCGCAGACTCACCCCATGACGTCGCAAGGACTGAAAGAAGAGGGCAGCCTGTGTGTGCAGTCGTGTGCAGTCGTTCGGCGATTCTGCCTTCTCATGTGTTGGGTCACAATTCCATGTGCCGCGTGCAACAGCCTGGAACATGTCAATCAGCTACCGATGACAGCAGGATCCTGCAAGTCGTTCAACGGCACCGTTGCTGCACCAATGCTTTGCATTTTGATCATCCACCACTCGCACTTAAACTCAGCTCAGGTTTCAAAGGCTGGGGCTTTATCGACTACAATGGCCAGGCTCGTGCTTGAAAACATCGGCTGACAGCTTCGGAGCAAACTTACAACACCATAGTGCTATTGAACACCTCCGGTGCCAGTTTGTCAATTTCTGGACCTCATTTCAGGTGAACCCCTGGCTCGTTATAGGGCATGCGACGAATTCTAAGCCTTCTAAGCCTCGGACGTGTCGTGTCAGCCGATTATGCCTCCATCATTGACAACGAACGTGTAGTGTTAAAGGGTTTGCCCTGGTCCGGCAGGATGTCTTTGTGCACATCAGAGATTGTCAGGGTGGTCAGCCAGCGCCTGGCGACATGTGCCGCGTCTGCACACAGTGTGACACGAGGCAATCCTGTTCACGCTCATGGACCGGTGGCTGGAACCAGTGTATATCTGTATGTCAATGTAGTTAGTATAGACACAGATGTCACGAGCGAGTCCCACTTGGATCTTCAAGTTGAAGAGCAGACGGCCGTACGCATGCTGCGCTCGCACACAGACACACATACGCTGTACACTGTGCACTACTTGTCGTTGCTACGCGAGCTGACTTCTGTATACGTTCGAAACCATGGTTCTCTTGACAGGGAGTTCCCTCCACAAACCCATCCGCCTGTGGCTGTTGTGAGTTGTGCATGTTGTGTGCTGCGGGCCTGTAGTGGTTCGCTCCTACAGTGACCTTCTCTGCTTTTCAAGGCCACACAACATGTTCAGGGGCGATTTTGTTTTTATTGGCGGGTCACAGCCTCTCTTGTCCCAGCCTCCCCCTCCCTCGGCTTAGCTTGGCCTCCTTTGGCCTCCTTTGGCCCGCTCCCCCCCCTCTCCCCCCCCCCTCTCTCCCCCCCCTCCTCCCCCCCCTCTCCCCCCCCTCTCCCCCCCTCTCTCTCCCCCCCCCCTCCTCCCCCCCCTCTCTCCCCCCCCTCTCCCCCCCCTCCCCCCCCACGGTGGCGATGGCGCGACGGGAGGCGGGGGAACAGGCAATGCAGCCCTGAGCCACTGAAGCCCAATGTGTGGGACAATGCCGGCCTAATCAACTGAGCACTTGGAAGCCGAGCTGTGCAGACGCAAAGCTGACGTAAGGCTGACCTTCGACTTGGAAGAGTCACAGCCTGGCAAGTTTAAGGCGCCGATGTATGTGCCACAGTGGTAGTAGCCGCTGGTAGCAGTTGACTCCTTGACTTTTCATTTATTGTCCTCGTGCGCAGTGTTTATTTTTCTGTAGAGGGTCGCAAAGTGGCTTGGACCTTGGACGGCTTCAGGCCAAGAATGTGGTCGGTGGAACGGCGGAGCGCGACCAGGATTCCATGATGGGCAAGGTCCGTCCTTGGAGTTTGCAACCTCGTGTTAAAAGGCTCCCATTCTGACGAGACCCCCAGTTTGCCTGCGTGGGTTGCCACATGTTGCCGCTCCTGGCCATCAGTGTCCACCCTTTCACGCTTTCACGAGGGCATATCATGCAACGTGTGAGGCCACGCCCGTGGAGGGCACTGGAGCCCACACAGGCCAGTGAAACAATCAGCGAGCTGTAGCTTCGCGACAAAACCGTGACAACTCTCCCCAGAAGAACTCTACACTGCCGTTATCGGTCGTCGAAACATCTGAGCTTCTGGCGAGGCACCGTGAAGTCCTTCAATGCCTGGGCCCGAGAACCTGGATGCTCCAATTGGCCACCAGCTGGGCTTCACTAGGGGCAAAACATGTCGCCAACTACTTCCACAACCCAGCTGTCAGAACCAGCACCTTTGGTAGGCCACAAAGGGCTTCGGCTTCATCTGCATCGAGGGTGCAGATGACGTGTCCAGTCTTTAAATGGACGTGGTTGTGCTGCGCCGGTTCGGTGGTCCGTGCTGATTTTGAGCATTGTCACGGCTTTGACCCCAGGTTTTCGTCCACACCAAGAGCTGCGTAGGCCAGCTCGGCGAGGGTCAGTAAACAGAATCGGCAGGCTGCGCCAGCAGGGCTGTAGGCGGTAGTACGGCTGTAGGGGAGCGTGGCACTACGTGGCACAGCTGCGAGGATCTCTTATGACCACTTCTCAGCCTGGTATAGCCTGGGCCTGGTCAGGCACCTTGCCGAACCCTGGAGACATCGTCAAGTTTGACATGGAGCCGAGCGCAGCGAAGCCCGGACAGCTCTGGCCCCGGGCATGCGAAGAAACCTTTTAATTTAAAGAGGGCACGTGTACCGGACACTTTGAAGGCTCTGCACCATCACTCCGCTTGCAGGTTCCAGGCGGTGAATGTCACCGGGGGCACCGCACCCCTCCAACAGGGCATGGGTCCCATGGGTGCCTTGGCAGCCTTTGGGGACTTTGGGGTTTGCCCTGGGAAGATTTTTTGGGAGGTCAAGCCTTGCTAACACCTTGCACACCCAGGCATGGGCATGATGGGCAAGGGCTTTGGGCCCGCCATGAACATGATGGCAGGCTCGATGGCTGAGATGTCTCAGGGCTTGTTGTGTTTTGCCCGCGCGAGCTCAACGCCAGTTGTGGGGCTTTCCCTTCCCAAACCCCCGCTCCACCCGAGTAGTCCGCACAACTCGTCCTCTTCCACCAGACAACTCCTCCCCCCAGCTCTTCTTGCCTCACTCCACTCACTCCACTCACTCCACTCACTCCACTTCCACTCACTCCACTCACTCCACTCACTCCACTCACTCCACTCACTCCACTCACTCCTCTCTCTCTCACTCACCCACCCAAAACGCATCGCATTGCTGCACCGAGGCATGATGGGTGGATTGAAAGGCGGCATGATGGCTGGAGGTGGGATGTCATGAGTAAGATGTGTCCAGGAGTGGGCAGTTTGATGGAGGCGGACTGCATGAAGTGAGCGGATGAAAGTAGTTCTGAAGCGGGGACGAGCAAATAGACCAAAAGATGCGACATGTGACATGTGAGCAAAAACCGCATGAATCCTGGACAGGTATGGGTCCCTACGGAAAGGGCAAGGGTGGTGGCTTCGGCTACGGCGGATACGGCTGGTGCTTTGGCGATCTGCTGAAGCTGGATGGTTTTGTCGATGGTGTTTTGCGTTCAGGTGGCCCCAAGGTTGAATCTGTCCGTATGGCAGACAAAGCTGATCAGGTAGCCAGCTGCATCTTCACGGAGTGAGTATGGATTTCGGTACCTCCGGCAACATGGATTCCTCAATAGTCGCCCAAAAGCTGCCTGCCCCGTAAACGAAGTGTGTATCGTGCCTGTATGGAATCCGTCCGGAGGTGGACCGACATTGCGTCCCAAAATTCCCTTACGAGCCTGAAGGGATCCTGAAGAGTGATCCTTAGATGGCTTACTTGGCTTAGCAGGCAATCTGGGACATTTGGCCCCGGCAGTGTGATGTGCAAGCTAGCTTGGGCTACTCTACGGCAGAGTGCTCTGAGAGTTTGATCTATACAGCGTGCTTCAGATCACGCAAAACCCAGCCACTGCCAGAGGCCATGATGCATGGCAGTTGATACCAATCTGCTTTGCTGAATGGTGGGAGTCTGGCTTTCAGTATCTGGGGCCGAACCAGAATCTGCACAAGTCCCATGCAGCCCTTGCAGCATTTCATGCTTTGCTGCTCTCGTCCAAACACCATTGCGCTAATGCTTTGGTGATTTTGGTGGCCTCTCAGGGCAAGTGTCGTGCCACTGTGCCGCTTGCCACAACAGAAAGCTACTAGCTCGAGGAGAGGCCTGCGCCGGGACTGGTTCCATACTTTCTTGCGGGGATATCCACCGGAAGTTCCACAGCAGGCCTCGCCTTTTGGGGAGGATCCCCTGCCCCGTAAGCATAATGGTCTCAGTACAAAGCGTGCCAAGTGGTGGCCTGTGCCTGCACAAGGCGTGACCCCAGACAAAAAGGTGCCAGTGGTCCGCACAGCAAGAGCCTCGCACACACATACTGTCATATACTCCTGGTTTTTGAGAGAGCCGATGTGTCTCCTCGCACCTGCAAACCGTAACGGCGCACAGTCTTGGGCAGATCTGCGAGATCCCCGTAGCAATAGCAAGGCCAGACTTCTCAAGATTTCTCAGAAAGCATTCAAAGCTGCCTAGGTACGGTACTCTGAATCTACTTCCTGGAGCATCTCTCTCCGAAGTTGCGGCGGCGCTTGGTGCTCAGGACTGAGGCCAAGTGATGCAGAGGATGTTCAGGGCCTGTCATGTCAAGCCGTCAAGCCGAGGTACCGACGAGCAAGCCTTCTGGTACATCCTGACCGCTGTCAAGGCCTCGCCATATCTCGCCATCTTGGTCTTGACATCTGGTGTGGTGTTCCCAATGTTCCCCCTTTAGTTCCAAGCACTTTCACGTGCATGTCCTCCTTCGAAGGGGACCCAGATGCGGCCGAGAAGTTTGCACGCCTAACGCGAGCCCGAGCAACTGGGCCTGCAGTGAGTGGAAGGTGGAGCGGAGAGGGCACAGTCAGAGGAGCAGTCTGTGAGGGAACAGTCCGTGAGGGAAGCAGCGGGAACAGTCAGCGGAACCGAGGACATCCTCGTTGAAAATGCCCGGCGGCTAACCAACCTGCAAGCTGCCTCAGGTCACAGAAAGCTGTTCAGATATGCAACGCGGTACTGCGTTGACACATGACATCTGCAGAAGCTGGTTGAATCATCGAAGCATCCACTGCTGCTTCCTGAAGCCAGGGTGACACGATAGTGACACGATAGTTGGCAGCTCAAGTTTGGGTTTGGGTTTGGATCCCTTTGGAAAACTGCTGGTGGCCTCGGCGCTCGTGATTTTGGCTCGAAGTGTGACTCGCTCCTTGTTGTGGATAAGACGAGGCCGGGCCATCGATGGGCTGCGACAGTGCGTAGAGAGTGCCGTAGAGTGCCCTAGTGGTCTGCTCTGCGTTTGCTGGGCACGGTTGTTGTTCAGAGGCTTCCTGTGATGACAGTCGTCCTGGCCTTAACGCTTGTATTGCCAGTAGTGCCTGCCACCGCAATCCGTTCATTGGGCAAGTGCCGAGCAACGTGGATGAGTAATGTTCGGCTTGGTCGCCGTGCGCATGTGCAGCAGATCATTGAAGGTCACAGATGCCGCAGCGCTGCGCGCATCCGATGCAAAAAACAGGTGGGGGGGAGAGTAGCTGAGTAGCAGACCGACAAGCCCTGGTTGCCAAGGGAGATCAAGGGAGGCATGGGGCCCTCACGAGAAATTTCTTGGGATGCGCCGCAGCTTCGAAGGTGGAACATGGAGCCGCTGAAGGCCTGCCATGGCCCTTGGGTTTAGAACGGTTCTTAGGGATATGCAGGGGATATGTTGAGAATAGGTTGAGATAGTGAAGTTGTTCTCGACCTCTCGTATTCTCCGTTCCGGGACGGCGCTTAGGCGCGCCCAAAAGCGCCGGAAGAACCCTAGCCCTGGACTGGCCCTAGACCCTGCGCACACTTCGTTCCTGCACCTAATTCACATGCAGGCGCCAAGTTCTCCAGAAAGCCAACCTTGATTGGGTCTTTTTGAACAGTAGTCCGATTGCATCTCATGTTGCACCATGCAGGTCGTCAAAGACTTGGAGCTTGGCATAGAGAGGCCCCGCTGATGAACTGACGAGCGATGGTGAGTGCATCATGGCGTGTCATGGCGTATCTCGCGTGGGTTCCAGCACAACTTTTGCACAAGAGTCAGAACCTACGTGCCGAATTGCCTTACTCGGCTTCTCTGTACGTGAGACAGCCACATACACTGGCTATCGCTGGCTCACGTCATGCGATCAAGAACGCGAGGAATCCACACCTTGCGTTTCCCGTTAAAGGCAGTTGTCGCAGTTCTCCGAGTCTTCAAGCCAGCCTAGCTGCTCGGATGGAGAAACAGAATTGAAGCCGAGTGTCAGTCAGTGCCGGCGGCCTTAAGAGAGAGCATGCCTTCTTTTTCAAGCCCAATTACTCAGCGAGGCTTCGAAAAGCTTGACGTGGACGTTATAAGTCAGGTGTCTACTCGGCTTGTGTCCCAGTTTTTTGCTGTGGGTCTTTTGCTTGTCAGATGGCGCGCCATGCCTTCGTTGCTCAGCGGACTCAGCGCTGAGGTCTAGCCAGAGCCGAGTATTTCGGGGCATCTCACACAAGCGCGTGAGAGCGAAGGCTGGTAGCCCCTGTGTAGCCCCTGTGTTGTCAGGCCATCTTGGAGTTGCAACTGGCTTGATGCAGGGATGCAAGCAGTACAAGCGCAACATCTCCTCTTCGTCCTGTTCCACATCAGAGCTTCAGCCAAATGATTCAAATACGCTCAGAGGCCTGTGCAGATCGAAAGCTGGATGCCAGCAGATGGTTTGGTTGCTCCTGCATACTTGCGAACTTTGTCAGGTGCTTGCCGACGTCTTGCCGGTTCCCTCAAGCACATGCCCGAGACATGCTGAGCTGGAAGCAGCACATGATCAAGAGCGTAAGGCTGTGCCGTCCACGAGCATGATCTGGCATGCCAGGTGGTTTGGGCACCTTTGCTCCCCTAGCACGGCATCTGAGGCTGTGTGGCCACAACAGTCTGAGTCTGTTTACTTCACTGCACTCGGGCGAGATCCCGCCTTCCGTGGCAGGCTGTTCTGAGCAAATCTCCCAGCGAAGTGTCCAGCCCCCCCAGTTCTCTGGGCCTTTCAGACGCAAGAAGCCTGCTGCTTCATATTGCTGAGGGCGTGCGGCATGTGACCATCAGGAGCCTGCGGCGGTGAAGCCCGCGCCGTACACTGCCTTGCAAGCGCGAGAGCCTGTGTGCCCAGGCACGCCGCTGGAACGACCCGAACGCGAGATAAGCAGACGATCCTACGCCAACCGCTTCATTCAGTTCAGCGCCCTGGCGCAGAGTGTGTGTTCACCCTCCGATAAACCTGGGCCACGGAAGTGGAAAAGAAGAATCAGCAATGTTCATCAAGGGAACCGCCTTGGAAAGCAAACGGGTGCTATTATCGAAATTCCATAGCATGTCATGAAAGTCCACAGCTGAGGGATAGGTCCATGACTGTGAAGAGAAGTATAGAAGGAACTTCCGAGTGGGAAATGGTCACTTTGAGTACCTCGTCTCCTCAATAGTTGATCTGAACCCTATAAACCCTACAAACCCTAAACGCGTCTCTGCGGAGTGACACCTCGGTGTCTGCGGGGGGGGGGGGGGGGGTGGCAAAACCGTCCCCAAACAACCCCAGTGCAGGCCAGAAGAGGTGGCTCGTAAAAAATGTTGATTGTTCCGTAACAGGCGTTGGCGTATGGCGTATAGCGTAACATGCCGGGTCTGTCTGGGTCGTTAGAAGAGTGCCTTTGAAGCACAGGCGTGGGCTAGTAGTATCACGCAGTATTCCCTCCCGCTCGGACTACTTCTGACCCGAGCTCTGTCTGACATGCGTTGCTCCCTGGGATTGTGTCTCAGGCTTGGAATTTGCAACTTGACTGAACTCAGCACGGCGCACCCCTAGGGGTAGCTTGAAGATGTTGCGTGGCGGCCTTGACTGGATTGTGGCTGCGGAGTTTCGTTGGAACAGGAGCGCGACCTCTCACCCAGCAGCCGTGCACTCCTTGACTCGCCGCGCCGCGCCATGATTGCATTCGCTTCTCGGGATCTGGAAGTTAAGCCAAGTGCCGCAGTCGTCGCAGTCGCCAGTGCACTGAGACTCAGGAATGTCTCGAACATGGCAGGCCCAGTGCTTGTTGAATCTCAGTGCTTCTCCGCATTCAGAGATGGGCTTGGCCAGGACGGCGAGGCCCACAAGTACCGCTTGTGCATGCCATAGCAGACATAGCGATGAGGCAGATTGGCAGAGCATTTGCAAAATCGACTGCCGATGGGTGCCTTGCTCATATATGTTTTCCAGGTTTTGCAGATTCCATTCGCGGCAACACTAAGCATGACGCCGAATGGGATGCCATGAACTAGTAGGAGGGACCCTCTAACGAACACACACATGACGGGTACCTCCATGCGCTTGATCAGGAGTCCCTCTCGCTTCTTTGCCTCAGTTTAGACCCAGTATTGTCTAGCCTAGTGTACAGATGCCAGGCAATGGCAAAGGAGGCCACCAAGAGCTTGCTTGCAGTAGCTCCTAGTTTCTGGCGGCCTAAATTGCGCAAACACGCGTGCAACACAGTTGCTCGTGCGTGCGTGGGTTATGAGGAAGCC